ATCAGATAGCATCAGTCACTTGACCATTAGTTTGCTTTCATTGTTAATCATTTCCTCTTGTTTTCCTGCATCCCTATCCTGGTTTGCTCCTTTTTATTATACCACAATAAAGATGTTGTGGGTTTTCATAAGGATTCCTTTGGTGCACTATTCCTGTGTTCTATTTGTCTTCCCTGAGCAGCATGTGGAGTATTTTCAAGGAGCACAAAGTCGTCTTTTGTTATGTTGGCCAAACCAAACTTTTAATTTTGTCATTTATTTTATCTTTACAGGGGAAAAAAAAGAATATTTAGAAAATAAAGGGCCTGAGATTAATTGTAAAAATGCTAACTTTGTCCTTTAAAAATGAGACTCTGTGGCCTACTATGTGAAGCTTGATATTTGCTGTTAGTGATGATGTCCAAGGGAATGTAAGATTTACTACCAGATCCGACCATTGTTCTATGAAGTCCAAGATTCTGCCTCTTGCATCAGCCTATCCCTGATGTTTCAGAGTTAGGTAGAAAGCCCCATAATGTACCTTGCCAATTGTACAAACGAAATCTCTCCAGGCTTAGAGAACAGGAGGTCTTTTGTTTCTCAAGAGGGGTATTACACTGCCATGCAGCAGACCCCAGTCTCTAAGTTGGTCATTGTGAAAATAATGTTGTCTGATGGTGATAATTTTATCTTTGGGAAGAAGGGCATTTGGAAGGAAACTGGACTTGAAGGACGCTCTGTAGGGAGGATTCCTGAAGAAGTAAAGCTGTAACTGTCTACCCTGCCATACCATTCTTTTTTGTCCTTAAATTACTGCCTGTAGGAAGAGACACTGTAGGAGTGAGGAATCAAACAGAGGAAAAGAGCTTGCTATGGAATTAGAAATTAGGTTTAGCTGTCTAGTGGGAATCTTATCTGTCTCTCAAACAGAAGTTGGTCTAATAAAAGATATTACCTCAACCACCTTGTCTCTCTCTCTAGGGGGAATCAAATTCACCAAAGAAAGAATGGGAAAAAAGTAAGAAAGCATAGGTTGTGTCTGATTATCTGCTTATAAAATTTTGCATGCAATCTTTAAACACAGAGGGCCAAATTTTTGAAAGGTCTGCAGCTATTTCATAAAGATAGGCTTGAGCCAAAATCCCAGCTTGGAAACCCAATGAACATTGAGAAACTCCAGACTTGGGTCTGAACTTTATGGCGTAGGTCCATCTCAGATATTCTGTTGTGAAAAAAGGATTGGAGTATCAAAATGGAAAATGAGCTGCTACATACACAAATACCCATTTGCACATGCAAGGGTCAGGTTTTTGTACTTGTATACAGATGCACCTGTGATCATTATGGGAACATTTTTAGAACCTGATTGAAAATTTGTCACAGTATAGGAGCGTCTGTGGCCTGTATCATCACTGTTTTGGATTGGTTACTTGCCATTCTTATTAGTGGTGAGATCCTTGCATGGCTCTTTCTAATTTTACACAGATAATTAATCTTCTGAACCCTGTCCTTCATCATGCTTATTGACTTTGGCAGCATCTAACAGCAATAGTAGCTGACATCAGGAGCCTGGATTGTATTGTGGTTCACCTTTCGGTATTCTGCTCAATTTTTCATTCATTCTTCCTCTGCAAAGCAAACTACAGTATAATTTAAGCTCTGCAGATACTAGAATGATGAGGAGGCCCAAGTGTCATTCAGAGCAGTGTTGTGGCTGGGAAGTGGGCACTGTGCTTGCTAAATCTGGAGCAGGGGAAGGATTTAGTTTAAAACTAAAATAAACTACACACAAAATAATCAGTTTACTGCCAAAGCTGATCAGTGATTCAGATGGTAATGTTGATGTGTTACCTGTTTTGGACCTTTTCTCTTAAGACTGATCTATGGAATATACTAGAAAAAAAGAGGATGCACATAATGTGTATAGTATTATATTACAGTAATTTGTATTACTATTCCACAAAATGTTCTTATTAATCAGAATATTGTTGCTGGCATCAGAATCAAATGTGTTTTGCACATGTGTTTCCTGTGGAGAGATTTTAAATGAACATATATCACCAGTGAAATGGTATTAGTGTAACAGATGCAGAAGCACACAGAGGGATGAATATTTTATGATCTTATGACAGAATTATCATCAGGATATAGATCTTAGCTGCTCATATGGCATGCAGCTGTGATTTATTTGCTCTGTGCTTGATTGTAATTTGGCATACTCCAGGGTCCACCACGTGAGCAGCTGTAGCAAACTGTAGTTCTGGAGATGATAAAGCAGATGTCCGTCTGTGTCACTGATCCTCGAGCCGTGAGCAGATCTTCAGAGTCCTACATGTGACTATGAGAGATTCATACTTCTGATAGGTACTTGCTCCCAGGTGTAGCAACAGTGACTGGTGATCTATCCAAGCTGCCTGATAAGTGTGTGCCAGACGAAGTCTGGAGTGCCGAGCAACTGGATCCAACAATGTAAAAAATGCCAGGACCCTCATTTCTTAACCCAATGAAGTTAGGAATGGAGCAATCCACGTAGTCAGGAATGGAGTGGTGAGAGAGAAGGGGATGAGGCTGTAATGTGGCATTGGTACCTGGTGATGTTGTGTTGATGCAGTCCTGTGTCATCACACTGATAAAATATCATGACAGACATTGTGATACAGCATTAGATCAGCATTTTGTGGCTTTCCAGACCTCATTAGGAGTGCAGATAAAGGCTGAAAGCCTGTTTTTATTTCCTCTAGTGCCCTTGAAAAATACATTTTGCTACACACATCATTCTATCTTTCAGCCTCTTTTACAGTCTTAGGTTTACATCAGTGGCAATCTGAGATGCATGTATCTTAATTGGCACCATTAGAAATCAGGACCTCCCTCTTATAATTGTACTAATGGTGTCTGTGTAGTACTGTCAACATATATAGTACACAGGGGGCTCCAAATGCTACATGGTTCATGTTTTTAAAACTAGCCTCTAAACTTGTGTCCACAGATGTTCCTGCACCACTGCTTGTGTGTACAAACACATTGGTATGTGCAGGCTGGGTAGGGAGGCATCTGCCCAGTTTACAGTCATGCATACTCTGCAGCTCTAACATCGCTATAATGATGATTATTTTATTTGTATTACAGCAGTCCCTAGAGGACCCAGTCCTGTAGGAGACAGTTCTTGCCCCCAGAGAGTCTATATTTATGAGCACAATGCTGGAAACTAGTTGAAGCGCAGCGGAAAACTTGGCCTTTTATCTGTTTAATTAGTATTAACACCCCCTTCCCCTTTATTTTAATATTATATATTTATTCATAAACTGTAACAATAAACATTGTTCCAACTACGCAAAAGCTAATAAACATTTGAGTGACAATTGAAACAAACTGCTTGAGAGCTGTGTCATAATATCTATTGCTCAAAATAATTTTCTGACTCACTCCCCATGCGTGTCACTGAGGTTACATGGGATGTAAGTCAGGGCACGATATGGCCCATTAAATATTATCTGACACATCTTCTTAAGACATTACAAAGTGAAACGCTACTCTTAAAATTGTGACTCTCAGGTAGCATGCTTTGTCAAAGCGTTCAGTGCCAAAGGAACACATATGGGCAATTTTAAAGTTAGTAGCTATCTAGTACTGTAGAGGGTGCTTATATATTTTTGGTATGCTGCTTAGTGATAAAAGCAGAAATATTTCTATTACTTTTTTGAAAAACATTTTTATTCCTGGTTTTTACGAAAAGCTTCACTGCAGGAATTTATATTGGCTATTTCAGTTTAAAAATATTCTTTTCCTTGAAAGCAACTTTTCTCCTCCTTTTCGTGTACAGGGAAGTGTTTTGCTATGAAGGCAAAAAAATCCTAAAGTTGCTTAACTTGATTTGTCTGATGAAATGGGTGGGAAATTGTTCTCGTATTCACATGTTCTCTACAGTATCTAAAATTAATTATCTGCACTCTCATGTATTGTTTTTTCATCTGTGAATCAACTTGACTCTTGTATAGTGATTTTTTCCCCTCTAAACTTTAGTTATTAATTTTGGGGGGGGCCCTAGGAAAATAGGCCAGTGCAGAAAGAATGGAGAAGTGAGAGACTATCCCCACTTATATCCCTCTGCAAGCTACCTGGACTGTGGAGAGCGGTTGAGCCTTTGCCAGTCCCTCTAGCACATTGGACAGCACAGCTGAGCTGGGGGAGATGGTGTCATAACTTGCTGGTAGCACAGACCTGCACCCTGTGACCACCGCAGGAACTGAGAGGGAATTGTGCCTTAGAGGGGTGTCTCCAAATAACAGTGCCTCCCAGGAGTACATCTGGGCTAGTGTGGTTTATGTACCACCCCTTGCTCAAGGCTGTGAAGGCACAGTCCAGCCCTTGGTTAGTAAGAATAACATTCCTACAGCACCAAAAACCTTTGATAGTCAAAAGGGAATTCTCTTTGCTACTTAGTTCTGTTTTTAAAATATTCAATTTTAAAATGTTTTGTAAAGATTTTACTCCCATTCAAGGATGTGCATGTCTTCAATTAATTCCTGTTCCCCATGGGAATAAAATTATTCTGTGAATCTAAATATTTGACAGTAATTTCAGGGCTTAATTTGTGGGAATAAATTTATTTCCAAACTAAGTCATTGTGTATTTATGGGGAGACTTTTTTATATTCTAGGTTTTCCATTCATTTTAATGCCAACTGAGCTGCATCTTGTTTTACGCTAACTAGATTTGTTGCTACACTATACCAAAAAAAATGTTGATTTTAAAAAAATAGCCTCTCTATTAAAATTATATAGCCTGTATTAGTGAAAGCTACTGTTCTCATTGAAAAAACTTAGAGGGAAGAGGGTCTTGCTTAATGCTATATGAAGCATTTCTTATCCAGATCGCTGGTTCATTTTCACATTGTGTTAATAATTTCCAGAATTTTTTACCTATCGGGTGGCCATTTTGGGGCCCATGTAAAATTAATTTGTGTCAGTTCTTAGCAGGCAAAAGGCAAGATCATGAATTGCTCTCCTTGGTTTTTCTAGGGCGAATTTTGGACTTGAAGACCGGAACAGTAAAGAAGGAAGGTCAGCAGTCCTCAATGAGGATGTGCATGGGATCAAGGCGTTCCTTCATTTGCAGAATGAGGTACACAATTCTCTATTCCTTCAATACTCTTATCCCATCTCAGACCTCAAGATTTTGGCCCATTTTGTCACCTCGTTTAAAAATCTGAGATGTACTGTCATATGCTGATTAGACATTTCCAGTGTGCTTGCTTTTGTAGTATCAATTTGCAATCTGCAATGCCTGTAATTAACAAGTAAGTCATTAAATCATAGCTGTACTAGTGTGCTGTATTGTACGCTTTTCCAGAGAGCCTCAGACCATCTTAACCACTGGAGTGTAAGCCGTTGTCTCTTAAAATTTGATTATTTAAATCAAAGCTTCTGGAAAGAAGCCTTCAAAAGTAGACTGGAAACTTGGCTCTGTGGGGTCATTTTTTTTTTGTTTTTTTCCCCAACAAACCAGTAATACTAAAAATAGGTTGAAGACGAGCAGGAATTTAGTTATGGAGTTAGCCAGCTATGTGAGAATTAATCAGTGATCAACTAGTTAATTCTAAATACATGAGTAAACGTTAGATCTGGGGGGGCTGAGGAGGTGGGAGTTATTTCACAATTTTCAAACTTCTGGTAAGTTTCTGTGACTGTTCTGATGTTTGTTTGCCAAATAACATGCAAGAAAGTGATTAACAGGAGCCACCTGCACAAGGGAGCCTGATCCTGAATGTGGCCTCTTGGTGTCCCTGTAAGAGAAATGAATAGTTGTAATAGCAACATTAAGTAGATATAATGTGGTGAAAGGTCCATCAATGTGACTTTGAGGGGGACAAGCACACTGTCGCATTTGTTTCCTGTTTCCAATTTGTATGCTGAGAATAAATTATGCAAAAACACAAACAAACCAAAAGGTTTGAAGGTCAAATCAAGCCCAAGACCAGCCTGTCTGATTAATTTGTATGTGCATAATGTTTTGAACACATAAAGTGACACACATCCTAATTCAATATAATTATTAAATCTAATCAATTCAAGTGTGTGAAGCTGCTTGAGAGCCTTCAATCTGAGGGTGCTTTGGAAGTGTCATAGTAGTGGTGGTATAAATGTAACAGTTGCTTACTTACTTTAGGCAATATTATGGCTGGCCTTACATGGGTCCTACGGAGGGGTGAAGAAACACTAGCACCCCTGCTGATCTACAGAGGCGGCAGCTCTAATTTGGCTACTCGCATTGAGAAGCACAACAGGGAGACTCTAGCTGTGGTGGTAGCACTGTCTAAACAAGGGGCAAATGGCAGCAGAGTGATAGGACAGGAGGCTGCTCAGCAAGGAGGAAGAGCAGGTTCCAGCATTCCTTTCAGTATAGCAAAACCCCTGCGTGTTTCCTTTAAGGCACTGTCATACCAGCTTCTCCCAGTGCTCCACAATGCTCCAAGCTGCAGCTTAGCCCCATGGTTATAGGGCTAAGCAACAGGAATTACATTTGTGCTTTGGAATCATGAAACCAGTATCCTACCCATATCCTCTCATGTACTCCAAGAATATTTTCTTCTATTATTAATTTGTAGCTACATAAAATTCATTAATTCAGGCAAATATTGACTCAGTAAGAGTATTCAGTCTGCTGTTCGTCATTTAGGATGCACCTCTTTATCTTCTGGCCCATGTTTACCGATCATGTGATGAGGTCTTTGACCAGACAGGAGCCAGACCTAATATCCAGTTTACAGTTGTTCCCCAGCTTTTCGAAACAGCCATCCAAATCACAGTTACTTATAAGGCCCTGATCCTGCAAACACTAATGTGTGTGAGTAACCTTACACGCGTGTGTAGTCCCATTGTGTGTCTAATTCTAAACTTTTTTTTTTACTATTTCTTTCTCTTCCTACTTCCTGGCAGTGACTAGTAAAAAATCTTAGTGGGGAAGGAGTCTTCGTACCTGAACCCCAATACATCCTCAAATATTGTGAATTATTTGAGGTTGCCATGTTTGCTGCATGATTTCTTCTTTCTTTGCCATATAGTTCCTCCTCTTTAATGAAAATAAACTCAGTTTTGTCTTTTCAAACCATTTATTTGGCTTCAAAGGGATAATTGCATATGGATGCACGATTAAAATGCAGTTAGACTCACAATTGGAAATACAAATAAATATACTCTGGTATGCAAATCAAAGTTGTAAACAGAAAGTTACTTGGTATTATTAATAGCTGTTAGCCAGGTATTAGGTAGTCAAAGCTGACTTCAGTACAAGTCAGCTGGAACTAGATATGGTCAGGAGTTTTCCAACAAAATGTTTTTTTATTGGAAAATTCCAGTTCATCAATACCAAAGCTTTCTGTAGGAATGTTCTAGTTTTGATAAAACTTCTGTCAAGTTTCTCAAGTCCAGGATGGAATGTTAGGGGGAGAGGGAGAGGCAGAGGGTGCCAGCCACAGACCAGAATAGTTACTATCCCAGTAGTTAGGACACTCCTCTGGGATGTGGGAGACCAAGGTTCTAAACTAGGGATCGGCAACCTTTGGCTTGCCGCCTGCCAGGGAAATCGGCTAGCAGGCCGAGATGGTTTGTTTACCTGCAGCGTCCACATCCCGTGGCCTGCGCCGCTTCCCACAGCCCCCATTGGGCTGGAACGGTGAACTGCAGCCAGTGGAAGCTGCGATCTGCCGAACCTGTGGACGCTGCAGGTAAACAAACCGTCCCGGCCCAGCAGCAGATTTGCCTAATGGGCCGCATGCCAAAGGTTGCCGATCCCTGCTCTGCCTGATTTGGAGCAGGGACTTGAACCTGACTCTCCCATATTCCAGGTTAGTGCCCTAACCAACGGGCAATTGGATCTTCCTGTCTTTCATGTTGGAACTGTTCCATTCTGTATAAGTAATGAAATAATTCATTGGGCCAGAGAAAGAGGTTGACACACTAACCCAGTGTTCAAAACATTCACATCTAAAACCCAGCTTCAAGTCCCGGGGTCTCCCACATCTAAGGTGAGTGACCTAACCACTGGCCTATTGCCTATTCTTGGCAGAGAGGCGGGTGTCTCTTTGATTTTTGAGATTTTTGAAAAGTCAGTTTCATCCCAATGCAGAACAGGGAGAAACTTTGAAATCTCAAAAAGTTTTGTGGGATGAGAGAATCTTTTTCTGCTTAGCTCTGTTTGGAACACAAGTAGCAGGTAGTCAGATATTGGGTCAATATATATGTACAAATTTCTGGTTTCAGAGTAGCAGCCGTGTTAGTCTGTATCTGCAAAAAGAAAAGGAGGACTTGTGGCACCTTAGAGACTAACAAATGCTCAGATAAATTTGTTAGTCTCTAAGGTGTCACAAGTCCTCCTTTTCTTTATACAAATTTCTGTGACATTACATGGATAGTACATAAGTAGTTTAGGGTTTGTAGATATTTGATGTATCTATCATATATTCCAATAGAAAGGGTTATACCAAATGTGGGTCAGCATTGTTATATATGGGTGTACATACAAATGACTAATGTCTAATACATAAATAATTGGTGAATACACAAGTATATAGTATGCGAATTCTCTGTGCTAATAAATCCTCTGGAAGCTGGAATTATTTTTGGATGGTTTAGCTGAGGGCCAAAATCGTATGTTTGTCTAGTTTTCGTATTTGTTTTTAAAGTGTTTGTGATCTGCTGCAGCCCTTTTCTGCTTAAACCAATCCTGGGATTCTCTGCTTTGGGCTGTGTTTTCTTCTTGTATTTCTTGTTTAGCCTCATGTTAACTGTAGGATTTTCTTTTGTGAGTCAGTAGTTTTCTTAGTGTTTGTTTTATTATTTACATCTTGAAAATAGTTGGGGCACTAAAAAGTAAAACAAACAAACAAAAACCAATGTGGGGGTTATAGTAATAGCAACTTCTCAGGCCTTGTTTACAGTAGGGGGGGAGATCGATCTAAGTTACACAACTTCAGCTACGTGAATAATGTAACTGAAGTCAACGTACTTAGATCTACTTACCGCAGGGTCCACACTATGCAATGTCGACCTCCGATCGTTCTCCCAGTGACTCCCCTTGCGCTTTTCATTCAGGTGGAGTGCTGGAGTCGACCGGAGAGCGATCTGCGGTCGATTTTAGTGTGTCTTCACTAGACCCGCTAAATCGACTGCCGATGCATTGATCACTGCACGTCAATCCCCTAGTAAGTGTAGACAAGCCCTCAGAAAATACTTTTCTAAGACACGCAATCAAAAACAAATGCAATATTACTTGAATATATATCCTTAAAAGGGGTTCAAATTGGATTTTTTTCCCCAGGCATTTATATTATCTTTCAAATGCTGGCTTGTTTTTAGGTGTGGAAATGCCCCTTTGGATCATTTACCTCTGAGCAGAATAACCACCATGCGAAAAAGATACAGGTGAGTTTGTTTCAGTTGCCACTACAGTATATCATAATGAACTTTTCTAGTTGTCCATTTCACTAGCGCTAAATCTCCCAGTTTTACCCGAACAAGTCTTTGTATATCAGAATCTGACTCACGCTTCACAAATAGCATGAGATCCCATCAGAGTGGAGTGAGCACAGCATTGGGAGCTCATCACTGAGTTCTAATCCTGCCTCTGTCACTGACTCCTTAGGGTGTACCTCATCTGTAAAATGATACTTACCTATAATTAGATATGGCTTATACAGCACTTGAGCTGTTGAACATTATGTAAGAGCTGTATTAAGTATTACTAGTGTAATTGGTAAATTTGTATTAAAAATTGGTACTAGTACAAAATTCTATTGGCTATCAAACATTTTGTTAATAGTATTGTTTATTCTCATATAGGAATGGCCTAGGCCCAGTAAAAGAAGGAGAAGCACAGTATGCAGTAGTCCACTGCACTGGATATATCAAGGCCTGGCCACCAGCAGGTAAAAGTTCCATTAAGGGCAATATAGATAGTACTATGTACAAGACCAAACTGATCTCTAGAATCTATTGACCAACTTGCTAGTTAGACATCTGTGGCTGGATTTTCAAAGGAGACAAAGGGAGTTAGGAGCCTAAGTGCAGTGTGATTTATGTACCTATCTCCCCCAGGCTCCTTTGAAAATCCCAGCCTCAGTCTGATAAACTGATAATCTCAGCCAGGTAGCTCGTTGTGTTCAACTCGACTGTGCAACTTTTATTTACTATTTATTTACTTGCTCGGTTTGGTGTACCAGATCTGGCCAATGGGCCATCAGTACCCTGTTTCCTACACTCGATGTTTCAGAGGAAGGTGGAAAGAACCCATAAAACACCTGACCAAATTTGCTCCCTGTGGTGTGCAGGTGATGCTCTAGTGCATGTGGTTGTATTATGATATTCTAAAGTTAGCATTGCTGAGAGGTACAGAAAAACTGATCACACTCTTTGACTGATTTCAGCTGGTTAGTCCATGTACATTTTCCTGTAAATCAGAAAGTCAGTCAGCGTCACTTTTAATGCGCATCCATATTCTCCTCAGTCTTTCAATATACTGCCCTGGTTCTCCACACACGACAGCCATTGATGTACACTGGCAGAGTATCAACTGTCATCTACAAGAGTTGCACTCTCAGAATGAGGGTACCATATGACTACAGAAGTGTAGTCCACAATTTTCAAACTTAGGTGCCTAAATAAAAATGGCTTGATTTTCAGAGGTTTTGAGGACCTGCAGCTCTCATTGAAGCGGTGGAAGCAGCAGGTACTCAGCACCTCTGAAAAACTGGCCAAAGCCAGTGCCTATTTTTAGACACCCATGTTTGAAAATTTTGGCTTCAGTTTAGGTAACGGTATACTCACTTACAAGTAATTTACTGAGTGGACAATATTACTATCTCTGCATCTTGATTAAGTTATTTTGTTTTGAATGTGGGATTTTGGGAAATAAGTCTTTACATGCTACTTTGAACAGCAATGAAAAAACAACTCACCTACTGTAATTCAGTATTACAAATGAGAATATTTACAGATGGGAAGAGTCTGAACACAAAGGGAGACTAAATGGAGACCAGTACAACATCATGAAGGGATAGTTTGACTGGCCTTAGCATTTGCAGAAGTTGAATATTTTAATATTCTTTTTAGTATGTCAATTCCTGTTGAACAAGAGGTCTTGCCCTTTTGTGGTTATAGACTGAGTATACCACAAACATTATTCAGGCTACTCCAGGGATTAGGAGTGCCAAAAATCCCATTACACTAAATCTGTACATTGTTTGTTTGTGCAGATTTTAACATGCAGCTTTATATTTCTTATTGATTCTGTGCAGATTTATATTTTCAAAGGTTATATAATTATCTCACTCTCTCACACAGAGAGAGAGAGATACCTACAAAAATTAAAATGATGCATCCTTTTGGAATTTTATCAGCCTTCAGACAAGCATAATTCAGACCACATGTCATCTGCCTGTACTTTGGAACCACAAAGAAGTGTAAAAGTCCCTCTTTGCATTCCTAACGGCTGGTAATAAGATTGCTAAAGCTCATACAATTTAAATTAGTGTACTGTAACTGTCAAAATGTTTCAGTCATTTTTATCTCCAGACAGAGTAAACAGAGGTTATAAGTCCTGTAACAAAATGTACTTTTTTACTTTAAGCAAAGTTCAATTTTTAGAGTTTTTCTCCTTTTTTAGAGTTTTCAAATGCAAGTGAATTAAATGGTCATATGCAAAATGGATACCCAGAGAAGTACACCTAGTCATGCTTAATGGGTTACTTGGGTGCCACAAGTACTCCTTTTCTTTTTGGGTGGTAAAGATGGTTAATTAGCACCCATCACTGCAGACCGTACACTGGTGAAAAACACTCATTGAAGTGGACCACAGTGGTAACATGGAATGAAAGCAGAGTCAATGGAGCAAAGTGCAGTCAAATGCAGTACAAGGCTTAAAGTAACCTAACAACAATGCGTTCTGTACTGCTGAGGTTATGGGGCAAGTGATGCTGTTTGTTCACAATTTCAGCCTGTGCACGCCTGCGGAAGCACTCTATGTAGAAGTCCAGCCTGTCATTTCGACCGTCAGGAGGAGCCCACGCAGAAATCTTCTTCTTGTAGTGTTGGTAGAAGGGTTCCTGTGGCTCAGTGCACTGTTCAGTTGTGTGTTGAAAATATTCCTTAAGTTGGAGATGACAAAAGTAGGCCACCCTATACCGGAAACCTGCTGACCGCTATACATGCCTCCAGCTTCCATCCAGGACACATCACACAATCCATTGTCTACAGCCAAGCCCTAAGATACAACCGAATTTGCTCCAGTCCCTCAGAAGAGACAAACACCTACAAGATCTTTATCAAGCATTCTTAAAACTACAATACCCACCTGGGGAAGAGAGGAAACACATTGACAGAGCGAGACGGGTACCTAGAAATTACCTACTACAGGACAGGCCCAACAAGGAAAATAACAGAACACCGCTGGCCATCACTTACAGCCCCCAGCTAAAACCTCTCCAACACATTATCAACAATCTACAACCTATCCTGGAAAACGATCCCTCACCCTCCCAGACCTTGGGAGGCAGGCAGGTCCTCGCTTACAGACAGCCCCCCCAACCTGAAGCAAATACTCACCAGCAACTATACACCACACCACAGAAACACTAAACCAGGAACCAATCCCTGTAGCAAACCTTGTTGCCTACTCTGTCCCCATATCTACTGTAGCGATGCCATCAGAGGACCCAACCACATCAGCCACACCATCAGAGGCTCATTCACATCTACTAATGTTATATATGCCATCATGTGCCAGCAATTCCCCTCTGCCATATACATTGGCCAAACCGGACAGTCCCTACGTAAAAGAATAAATGGACACAAATCAGACATCAAGAATAGTAGCATGCAAAAGCCAGTAGGAGAACACTTCAGTCTTCCTGGACATTCTATAACAGATTAGAAAGTAGCTATACTTGAACAAAAAAACTTCAAAAACAGACTTCAAAGAGAAACAGAAGAACTAAAATTCATTTGCAAATTTAACACCATTAATTTGGGCTTGAATAGGGACCGGGAGTGGCTAGCTTGTTACAAAAGCAGCTTTGCCTCTCCTGGGATTGACACCTCCTCATCTGTTATTGGGAGTGGACTGTATCCACCCTGATCGAATTGGCCCTGTCAGCAGACTTGTGAGATAACTCCCTTCTCTTCATGTGCCAGTATATTTATGTCTGCATCTGTAATTTTCACTCCATGCATCTGAAGAAGTGGGGTTTTTACCCATGAAAGCTTGTGCTCAAATAAATCTGTTAGTCTTTAAGGTGCCACCAGACTCCTTGTTGTTTTTGTGGATACAGACTAACACGGCTACCCCTGATACTTGACACCATGTAAAGTATAAAGGAAATTCTGATAACGAGACCTGCTTCTTCAGTTTTCATTCGAGCAAAGCTCGCCGCTCAAGTTAATGGGGTGTTTTATCTAAATAAGGACTGCAGGACTGACCCTCAAGTGTTGATTTCCAACATGAAATAACTATATTCTTCTTGTGCCTATATGTTCTGTCAGACCCCAAATCTTTTTTTTACTTTCAAAGAACAGTTAGACTTACATATTCTCTCAGGGTCAGACTGTCCCTAGCCCTTACATGGGTGTGGGAAGAGAAAAGGAGGTGTACCCACTGTACCCCACACAAGAGCTGGGGACTTCCGTAGTCCTTGCATGTGGGCACTTCCAGGAGAAGGCAAAGCTATGGCCCTACATCCACCCTCTTCACACTCTCTTGGAAAGGTGGCCAGGCACATTAGGAGGTGCAGGCTGTACAGTCTCAAAGTGTGGAGCAACTTGCAAACTCCATGTGCTCTCTGGGGGTAGGGGGGAACATGGTAGTCCTAACTAGAGCTCCCCATGGGGCAATGCAGCACCACACCACCCCTAAACTGGGTAGGATCACAAAGTACATAACCTGGCCATCAGGCTTTGCTTCTGGGTAAGTAACTGTAGGGGAAATGTGGATCTGTTTTTAGGAGCAAGTGGAATATTGGCCTTGTGCAGACTGTCTGCACAGGGGGTAGATTTCTCAAAACTATTCATTTGTCAAAAACTAAATGAAAAAGTTGGTTTTGGAAAATCCAGACTCTCTTCCAGGGAGTTATATTATTTGCTTATTGTATGTGATGATGTTTTATTAAACAATGAAATACAGTGCTAAAATATTTTCAATATGGGGAAAAGACTCACTATTTGAAACTAGCTGAGTGCCCATTCCAGACTTTGATCCTACATTTGTTTTGTCTGCTGCCAACTGGCTAGAAGAACCTGTGCTTCTGATTGCATGAGAAGTGTTGTAACTAATAACCAAACGTACAAAATATACCAATTCTACTTTTTTCCAATCTGTTATTTTAAAATTTAATTTAAAACAAGTATTTGCCTTTTTTCAATTAAAGCATCATATTCCTGGAAGGAAATGAGTTTTATGCAGTCCACGTGATGTTTTCGTAATAGTTTTATTCATCACATAGCAGTGGATGGAAATATTTAGTTGAGAGAAACTACAGTATGTCAGCATGTTACTGGTTTTGCAAAGAATAAATCAAATCCAAGGCCAATGTTTTTTCCAAAGGGAAACTACAGGGAAGTCATTGTCATCAGAAGGGTCAAATAGATGGGTACCTTAGGGCACTTGAAGATTGAAAATCCTAGTAAACAAAGTTTCAAATAATACAGAATTCTGTATTTCTTTTGGGTGATTTTTTTGTGGGGAGTTGTTTTGGTTTTGTCTTTAGCTTTTTGTCTTGCAATTATTGATTCATTTCTAGTCTTCCAAGTCAGACTTACAGTAACTGTTTAGCCACAAAATGCCAGAGTAGTTAGGTTATTTTAAAATTTTGGCCTGAATCAAAAAGTTTGTGCAAAACTGTTCCTTTTAACAAAACAAAAAATAGTTGCTTGAATACTCTTTACAGCACTGTAATTGTTAATGCTTATTAAAAAAATGACTCCCTCTTCTTTGGAATTTTTTACAAGTACTTCTTCCCCCCGCCCCCCCATTTTAAGACCCACTGAAATTTTTTTTGGTCCTTATTTTTTGAGGACTTAGATTCCTGCATACACCTATTCAAGAGGTATTATGATCTTTTAAAGTGCCATGCACATGAATGGTACTGTACAGGTAATAATAATTGATGGAGGTATAAAATAATGTGTAGCCATGCAATGGTACATCATGTACGTTTTAATTCCACTTTTATGAACAATCATAAAATATCTATTTTGCAGTTTAATATAGTTGCAGCAGTTCTCAAACTGTGGGTCAGGACAGGTAAAATGGGATCACTAGGGCCGGTTGAGACTTGCTGAGGCCCAGGGTCAAAGCCCAAGCCCGAGGGCTTCAGCCCTGGGCAGCAGGGCTCAGGTTACAGGCCCCCTGTCTGAGGCTGAAGCCCTTTGGCTTTAGATCCCTGGCCTGGGGAGGTGGGGCTTTGGTTTGGCCCACCTTTGGGGTGTCAGGGCGTGGGCGGGCTCAGGCTTCGGTCCCCCATCCTGGGGTCCTGTAGTAATTTTTGTTGTCAGAAGGGGGTCGTGGTACAACGAAGTTTGAGAACCCCTGATATAGTGAAACCACAAAATCCACAAAGTCATTATTCTGCACCTATACATACACATGGAGTTCAGGATTGTGGGGTTGCAGAAGGACAGGAGATAATGGCATTCTGTTGTTAGGACCAAGTTGGAAATTCATCAGGGACTGTTTAGAAAGTCACTTCCTTATGTCCACTTAAACACATGCCTTTACCTTATGGGAAACTGCTTGTTAGCACACAGTGATACTGTTAAATTAAACATGGCCTCTGGTTGCACAGTGTTCTGTTTGTGGTTCATTTTCATGTTTAGCTCTGTTGATGTTAATCGGGACAAACGTAGTGCTACATTTGTTTATTAGTAGTAGCGTATGTTTTGGTGTTGAGAAATAAAGTTTTCTACTGGCTACATGCAAGAATGTGAATAATGTGTTTTTATTCTGTTGATGTTATTAATAGGCCAGTTTCATAGCCTTTCTCCTGGGTACAAATTTTTGGAACGCTTTTGGAATTACTAATTTTTAGGCAACTGCAGATTCTAACAAATCACATTGTGTTAAGAGTTAGATGAAGTAATGATAGTACCAGTGCATAGATCTTGTTTACCTGTCCTTATGAAATCTAAGTACATTTAATAGGGAATATATTATAGGGGAAGTACAGATCCCCTACGCACATTCACCGCAGTGTAAAATAGCATCTTTATAACCATCAGCAAAAGAATATGGAAAACAATTTCCATTCAGAACAAAAATAGGCTGCATGGAATCCTTCCAATAATAGCACCTAAATTACTTTGAGCAGGCAAGCAGGTAATCATTTTGGCATATTTTTTGCTCTAGAAGCTTTGGGAAGGGTTAGCAATTCACTGGGTCATGTACTGATTAATTCCAGGCAGTGAGATTTTTATGCATAGTGTGTCTTGTGGGATAACCCAGCTAATAAAGTTTCCACTGTGTTGCATGGACTTAATGTAATCCACCTCGCAAACAAAAAACAAAAAAAGTGAATTTTGGAACAACAGCTCCCCTGGCCAACCCTGAGCTCAGTGAGGAATGGCATTTCTTTGCTAGGTTTAATTCTGGAGATTGTTTATGTTGCTTTGGGTTTATTTGGGCAGTTGTGGACCTGAACCAAGTTCCAAAAAGGGAAAGTGTTATTGAACACATCAGCAAAAAGATTATGAGAAATGGAAACCATCCAGCTGCTTAGCTTTTGCCTTCTTTTGTGGTATATTGTGTCTTTAAGGAAACTGTAAGAAAGCTCAGTGAAACTGAAGGAAAATACCTTAAAAATGTTGTTTTTAGATTGAAAACACCATTATAAAAATGAGACCCTTCAGCTAACATTATCCAACCTGACGCCTAAATTTAAGAGCTTAAATACATATTTAGGCCAAAAATAAAAGTTGTCAGAGGAGCTAAGCGCACTTAAATCCCATTGAAGTCAGTGGGGAAAAGCGGGTCCTCAGCATCTCTGAAAATTAATCCCCTAAACACCTCAAGGCAGAGGTGCCTCATTATATTTTTAAAAGTATTGGCGGGGGGGGGGCATGCAGCTCAAAATAAGTGACATTGTTGTATTAATAATAATTGTTGAGACCAATAGCTCCTCTTGCTATTTATATTTCTTTCTTTGTCCATCATGGCTTTTACATTTGTTTTTCCTGTATACAATTCTATTTTCAGATTTTTGTTCACAGCATTATGGGGGAGAGGATAATGGATTGTGCTTAACATCTCTGCGGATTGCACACAATCCACAGGTGGACTACTTTTTGCATCTGTGAGGAAATACAGTGTGCACATGCAAAGGATTTTTATATGTTTTTGGAGCGTGGCCTCAACTAATAGCCTGATTCCAGAATTTTATTTGTCAGTGTACAAAGCTTTAAGTGCATATGCTTGGTCCTCCTTTTTCACGATGCAGTTACCTCCATTTTCACAACAGGTAGCCAGATTTTGTCCCTGTGTGTATTTTTAAGCTGCTTTATGCCTTCAGATGACGACTAAATTCAGTACTTGAGAAAGACTTCCACTGTGCATAAACACAGCAGTGAAAACAAAACCAAAAACCCTACACCATGCCTCCGTAGCTCTTTCTGTATTGGTCCTTTATTTTATCCTTGATGCATTCGTGTGTTAATGTCTTTCATTTATGTACAGAGATGAATATTTTTTAGGCAGCATGGGATGTGTAGTTGTAATAGAACAGAGAGTGTAATTATATTTGTTATAGTTGGTAGTCATATTTGTTCTACTAAAGGTATTACTTTTTAACTTAACTGTTTTATGGGCCTGATTCTTACTAACGTTAAGACCCCTTTGAATTCCGAGAGTGTAAAGGGGCCTTGAAGGAGGTGTAACTGTAATTTATGTTCATGTTAAGAGTTCTCTACTTTGCCAGAGTTGTGTAAGGATCCTTAGTGAAAGTGAGACTCAAATCCTGAATTATCCAGGGATCACCTTTTCCAAGTCTGCAAAATAAACAATTTATTTGAAAAATAGTATGGAACTCAATGTATTTTAAAACTCTATATTTAATGTGTGAGTCCTTTAAAATTTACCCTTAAGTTCATATACGAGCTTGGACTGTGCATGGGTCAAAGGAAGTGTATGGCTTTTATGCAGGGACATCAAAGAGCTTTACATGTAAAGAAGCTCATTAAGGCCCAAATTAGGAACTTTGCATGCATGAAGAGGAAGGGCGCCACATTGGGTAGGAGATGTGGGTTCTATTCCCAGCTCTGCTTTTAACTTCTTGTATGAAGTGCTGTAGCCGTGTCAGTTCCTGGATATTAGAGACACAAGGTGGGTGAGATCATGTCTTTTATTGGACCAACTTCTGCTGGTGAGAGAGACAAGCATTCGAGCTACACAGTTCCGTCGCGCTCTCCTTCTCACCAACAGAAGTTGGTCCAATAAAAATTATTACCTCACCCACGTTGTCTCTTTCACTTGTGTAACTTTGGGCAAATCACTTTTGCCTCACTTTCACCGTTTGTTGAAGGGGAACAATAAATCTTTTTCTCTACTGTAAAGTTCCTTTGAAATCTACAGGTGAAATCAGAGCTAATTATAATTATCTGAGAGTCAGAATTTGGGCCTCGGAATGTAACCTTTGCTATGAGCAATGAACAAGATGACGACTGAGTACATTGCACAAAATGCTCATTATTTTCTTGCATATTCATTTATAGTTTACTGTATCTTATAACTGTGGGAAAGTGGAAAATACTGTGTAATGTTCAAAAACTGTGTGATCAAGTAACACTTCTTATTAGTAGGAACAGTTTATCTGGAAAACCTTGTCACTAAAATTACCAGTGTTTTTAGGGTTTTTATCCCATGTGCATCATGTTTAAAAAGCTATATCTGGCTCTCCTCTAAACAGTTCAAGATTCCTTGCAGTGTGATTGACTTGTATTAGGAAGTATAAATGTCAGAGGATAATAATCTCTAAACATGATTGTTGCTTCATAACCGGTAGATGACTTTGCAATTAACTTCACTAACACATTAAACTGCTTTTTAAGTAATTCATTCTCTGTTGTGTCTTAATGCCAAGAAACATTGGGAAGAGAGCTTGTAAATAGTTTAAAATAAATCAACTGTGTTACCAATAGAAGAGTTTTTCTAAAATGTATCACAGGAAGTGGATAACTCAAAACTTAGATTGAGAAATCTACTTACTAAAGGCTTAACCGAATAATATCTAAACAACACTCATGTAAAGAGCATTTCTGTTTGTGTAACACGAGTGGAAAATAGCCTACCCGTATGCTTTGATTTTATTCACGTCTGTAATAGTTAATCCCATTGAAAAACTGAAAACAAATAGAGTTTAATGAAATCCCTATGTTTTTCAATCTCCTGTTTCCTTTTAGCATAACAAAGTATGCTAGATATTTTATAATAAAGGAAACGAATCCATTTAATTCAAAGGCAAGTGACCAGTCTAAATGTTGAAGTTGGTGTGTAATCCACATTGTACCTTTCTTTTAAAGCTGATATTTGGTGTATGCTATACCAAAGAAAAATGCATAAATTACATCTTGCAGTAATAACCTGAAAAGAAATATTACTCAAAATATTATTGCCGGCATCAGAGTCTAGCGGCTGTTGTGTATGTTTCCCTTTGTCTAACTGAAGCCAGAAGATAGTGACTAGTTTTGTTTGTGAAATTGAAACCATCTATGAAAAAAGGCAAGTGATTCTGTTTTTTCACCTTTCCTAGCAGTAACAATGGTGGTGGTGTTGTTGTTTATTTTAGGAATGACTATACCAGAAGAAGATACAGATGTGGGTCAAGGTAGCAAATATTGCCTTGTGGCAATAGGGAGGCTTCAGGTAAAGACGCTCCTTTATTACATCCACTGCTGCTGAAAATGTTAGTCAATGTTGTAGTACAGTTTTATATCAGATTCTGACAGGGTCTGGTTAGAAGATTAGGGTCTGTACCATGCCACAAAAAGCACAAGGCTATGGTGTCTATGCCCAGTCAAGTGGAGTTGGATGGGCTGCAGAAATGATTATTTCTGGAAGTTTCCTGGGTACCTGATGAGGGAAACATCAGGGGGTGGAAATTGTTGTGAATAGATTTTCTCCAGTTGCTGATTTAAAAGGCTAATTAACTGGCTGGAAAACCTGTAGTTGCAAAGGCTCGTATGAAAACAATAAAATTAATGCAGTCAAGAGGGCCTAAGTACTTAAATGCTTTACAAAGCATAACTACACACACAAACACTTAATATTGCTGAAATATTATATGGCAGATCCATGCACAGAAGTCCATTGAAAGTAGTGTAAATAAGATTTTACATCTCATTTGATCAAAACATCCAAATTTGAGGCATTCTATGTGTACTGTATTTTTCCTCCCTTCATCCCTTGCTAATGGAGTCCTAGTGGATCAGAGTTTTGATCTGGAGCTGGAGTAGCAGTGGTGAACCTTTTCAATCATAATAAGGAAGCCATTTTTATGTTCCTGTCTGGGAATCATGCCATTAGTAAAAACGTTTGATCCTAATGCATGGTTTCTTGTTGGCCTTCACTCATGCCCATCTGTTAGGATGGCATTGTTCACTCTTAATGGCAGAATGACAGTGTCATTGGAGTGTAGCTGCCAAACCAATATCCGTTCAGATGAGCATCATACTGGAAACGTTACCGCTTCTGCAAATAGTGTCTCCTGTGTGATGCAATATTTTTGTGGCATTGCTATGACATTTTTCACTTAATCACACTTATGTTCAAAGATAAAATACCTAAGTGGTGGACAGAAGGAAATTACGGAGTTTGCAGATGTTACAGCTGCCAAAATAGACTCTTGCCCAGAAATCCCATTAATAACTTGTGGAGCATCAAAACATCTGTTCCATAAGAGAATAGCCAGCAGGCCCTCTGTGAGTGAAGGCAAGGTCAAGCAAGCAGTGGCTCAGGGGACAAGTTTAATCACAAAGAAATCAAGGTGTACAAATTTTAGAACTGTGCACTCCAAACAGTAAGCCATAAAGTGACAGCTAATCACCTCCCTGCTCTATTAACTGGTGTTTTGATGCTATTGTGCTACAGAGCAGAGAGCAAAAAGAGATTTTGTACAGATTGCCTTGTGCCTCTTTAACAGACCTGGTTGTTTAGGATGAAAGAGAAAGTCAAAGCAAAGACTTTTCTCACTCTTAGCCCATGTAGAAATGGATAGAAGTAGATTAACTTGGCTGGCTGCATAGATCTCAAGTAGGAACCTGGAAATGTTTCATTCTTTCTGAAGAACCTTGATGAAAATTTACAGAAAATCTCTGTTTTTCTTTCAACGGTGATATCTGCTGTGCTAGCATTATGCCCTTAACGTTATGTCTGTGCTGAAAGTGAAGGTGTGATTGTAGCATGGGGAGGAATACCTGTGCTACAATCACACCTCTTGCAGTGTAGACATACCCTAAGAGTCCAATGGGAGAGACCTATGTCACAGTTCTTTGGGAACTTACTTGAGTTAGCTGTTAGAACCTTCTTTGTGAGGCATCTTCGATGGGCTTGTTTTCGTATTGTTCAGTGAGTCCAGTGTGCATGTAATGGAGTGATGTTTTTGTGCTGTGGACTAGACTGAAGCCATTTCAGTTTCATTTTATTTGTGTCCTTGTTTTCTTTATGAACCCTTTAAATAGTTGACAATAAACAGATTGTGTTGTTTTAAATGAAAAAGCAACCTCTACTTATGGTGACTGTTCCTTTTCCGAATAATATTTATCTGATTGTTTGTCCTAGGTAACTAGCTCACCTGTGTGCATGGACATGAATGGAATGTCTGTTCCTACTGAGTTCTTGTCTAGACACAACTCCGATGGAATAATCACATTTGTTGATCCAAGATGTATCAGTGTGATTGGCTATCAACCACAGGTCAGTTGCTAGTTTTAAGACTGAGAGATTGGTGAAAACTAATTAAGGAAATTCTCTCTCTGTGTTTGCAAATAAACACGTAACTTCCAAAAGATGCAACAGTTCAGCTGATCTCTAGCTGTCTGTATTCTATACCTTATCACAGTCTGATGTTGTGTCATTTATTTTGCCATACTGTGCACACGTCCTTAGCATTAAGAGCTTTCCCCTTAATTACAGGGGATTTCATTGTATCCTTTTTGGATTTATTGGTTTTTAGCACTAAACTGGTTCAAATCCTAGGCAGTTTTCAAATTTTATTTTTCAAATTAAGACATTTCTCTTAAAGCAATATAAATTCTGCTTTGAGAGATTGTTACAGTTGTCGATTTTAACTTCTCTACCAGTTTATCGAACAACAAGCAGACCTCCATTATGAAGCTTATTTTCCTTGAGGCTCATGTCTGCTCCTTTGAATAAATATTAAGGTAATATAATTGGATACTAAATGATCTCTATGTGATGGCTTTCTCACAGATAACAGCATGTTATCTTTTAATCTCAAAGAAAATAGTTTCCATATGTAAACAATTGTTCGCAGGCAAGACATTTTGTCCTTATCTGATCAATTTACTTTCATATTGATTTGAATTAGCTTTAGTGTAAATTTATCAAACAAAACAGTATATTAAAGTGAATGTAGCTGGATTAATAGAGGATTTCAGTGTCCTCAGGGCTATCAACCTGGCACCTTTTAACAAGCATTAAAAATTCACTTAAAACTGTTTTTAAAGGAAAGATATATGTCTTTGCAACAGCCTAAAGGCAATGCAGGGCACCAATCCTGCAAACCCTCGCTCAGGTGAGTAGTTCAATTGAAGGTAATGTGACTATGTGTGTGAGCAAGGATTACACTCTAAACTAAAACCTTGTAGGATCAGCACACAGGTTTGTATTTTTACAGTTTTATATTGTGCTTTCCTAGGATCTTCTGGGAAAAGACATTTTAGAATTCTGCCATCCGGAAGATCAAAGCCATTTGAGAGAGAGTTTCCAACAGGTACTGTCCTACATTTTTTTTTTTCTAGTTTCTATGCAGAACCTAACATTTCTCAATACCAGGGGTCAGGTCTGATATCTACAAGTTGAGGGTGAATCTCATGGGGTAATTCCTATTAATATTAATGTCTGTAAATCCAGTTGTTTAAACTGGATTATACACACATCTTCAAGGTGCTATATTTTCAGAAAAATAGCATTGTTTTACATGTTCTTTTCATTCTTATTTCTAAAATATAAATGAATATTCAGGGCATGTTTAGAGCCATAGTGTGGCTCCGGACTTGCCTGCCTAGAGCCCACTGACGTCAATGGGTACCACAAGGGGTTGGTTGTCTTCAGCAAGAATATGGTATTTTGAGTTGAAACTGGCTCCATTCCCGTGGTGTTTTGTTTTGTTTTTTTAAACCAAATATTTAAGAGGAAAACATTAAAACAGCAAATCAGAAACAGATACAGGCACACACATCCAGAGAGAGGAATTGTCACATACACTCAGGGCTGGCCTAACTCCGGTCCCAACTGGGAATGTTACCATTGACTTCTACGGGAATACACACAGGCCAGCGCTGAGTGCTTTTGAAAATCCCATCTGTAATAGATCATGTGGTCTAAATTCTCCACTGGTGTAAATTGGCACCACTCCATAAACTTCAGTGGAACAGTCCCAGTTTTACCCAGCTATGAATTTGGCCCTGTATAAATCATTTAAAGAAATTAAATACAGAATAAAGTAATAAAAGGCACACAACATATGGAATAGGTTCTCAGTCTGGATTCAGGTTAGCCGTGGATTTATATAGATGATTATCTATTTAAAGCATGGCACAAAACTAATTAAACCCCATAAAACCTGTATGAGGAAGATAATTCATACAATATTATTCCCATTTTATAAACTGTAAATCTGCAACTCAGAGATTATGTCTGTGCTGCAATCAGGAGTGTGATTGCAGCATGTGTAGATATACCTGGGCTAGCTTTGATCTAGCGAGCTTGCTAAAAACAGCTGAGAAGTTCCAGCATCATGGGCTAGCCTCCCAAGTACAAGCCTGCCCAGGACCCTGGGTACATACTTGGATGGCTAGCCCATGCTGCTGCTTGTGCTGCTGCAGTTTCTCTGCTATTTTTAGCAAACGAGCTAGATCAAAGCTATCTTGGGCGTGTCTACACATACTGTAAACAGCCGCACATCTTGACTGCAGTGTAAGCATATCCCGAGACACCCAATCCAGCTGCTATGGAAGTTAATGAATAGGCACTCAGTGACTTCAGTGGGAGTTAGATCAGGCCAAAAGGGTCTTTATGCTGCACTGTTGAAGTCAGTGGGAGTTCTGTCATTGACTCCATTGAGCTGTAGCTCACGAAAGCTCATGCTCAAATAAATTGGTTAGTCTCTAAGGTGCCACCAGTACTCCTTTTCTTTTTGCAAATACAGACTAACACGGCTGTTCCTCTGAAACATGTGCTTATGGTTATTCATTAGTTTTAAGTATTTTGATGGATCAAGGCCTAAGTGTCTTGTTCCGGGTTCACACAGCAAGCTGTTGGAAGAGCCAGAGATTAAAAGTGTGGAGTTATAGGCCTTGCATCCCAGGTTCAATCCACTAAATCATTTTGCCTCTATCTTCGGTGGAGAATTCCTTCTTTGAATATTCAGTACAGTAGCAATGCAATCCAGGCTATTTCCATCAATGACTAAAAGACAATTAAACAAGTTATCTGTACACCAGATGGTTTTCATTTCCGAAGAATCTTTTTGTTTTTTGATAGAGGTTAAACATTAGCTTTGAATCTTCTTGTGTTATCGTGTTTGTGTGCACTGTTTTAAGACAGTTCAGGTTTTTCCCACCAAAGACTTCCATGCTTTATATATTATTACAAAGTTAATATTTGCTTATTTCAGATCGCAGAGCAATAGATCATTACAGTTTGTTTTGTTATTGGTAGTTTGGCCTTAAGAATTTTTTTTATTAAAATGGTAACTATTATTTCCAGTGAACTTTGTTTAAAATCCTCGGTAAAGTTGACATTTTTAAATTGCTGATGCTGTCAAAAGCAGGTTGGTGCATAGCAGAGTCAGAGGGATTTGCAGTTGTTGGTTGATTGCCAGAATCCATCTCAGAGCCTTTACTTCCTTGAGAAGATAAATTCATTCATCAGGGTGGGAAAATTAAGCCAGAATGATATGTTCTCAAGGCCAAGAACAACAAATAGAGTTCTGTATCAGAAGGTTCCAGAGGACAGCTATCTAATATCCACTAGGAAAACGTTCAGAATGGACGCTAACACAAGTTCTGTATTCTTTACAGTGGGTGTGGTGGTAGAACATTTGTTGATAAAAGGATATGGTTTATTGGATTGAAACTACAAAAGGATGTATTTTAAGTAAAACATTAACCCTGAACTTTCAGTAGGATGAATAGGTTTTATTGTTCTGGGCATAGTCAGTAGGATGAATTGGTTTTATTATTCTGGGCATTACTGAAGTTTGTGTCTCTTCTTTATGTTCTGTCTATGTAACCTGGGATCCAGTGGATCAATTTAAAATAGAACTTTTTGAAAAGGTCAGATTAGAGCAATTCTCCTCTGCAACTGCTTGTCAGCAGCTACATGGAGTAAACACCAGGTTTCTTCCAGGATAACTCCTGTTAGCAAAGTCAGGCTACAGACTACTAATAAACAGACCAATCCGAATGGGTGAGGATTAGGATTCCGCTATGGAGTGCAGCGTTTATTTGCACAGAATCTTCTCCTTCCTTCCTGAGGCATTACATGACCTAGCCTGCTGTAAAACAGCAGAAACTAATTGCATGTGGCCCAGGTAAGTTTCAGCTGAATGCCTTAGCCAGATCTCAAGAAATATAACATTTCTTCTGAATTAGACCCAGACCATCAGATAATGGACAAGACATAACATGATCACAGTGTAGCTATGTGAGGAAAGGTTCTTTAGACCAGGGGTTCTCAACCTTTTCCTTTCTGAGTCCACCGCCCGCGCCCCCCCACCCCCCCACCGCCTCCAACATGCTATAAAAATTCCACAGCCCAGCTTTGCCACAACAACTGTTTTTCTGCATATAAAAGCCAGAGCCCCATGCCACAGGGGGCATCGCAAAGCTAAGTTGCCCAGGCTTTGACTTCAGTCCCACGTGGTGGGGCTCAGAGCCCCAAGCTGCAGTCCTGTGTGGTAGGGCTTTGGCTTTCTGCGCTGGGCCCTAGCGAGTCTAACGCCAGCCCTGCTTGGTGGCCCCCCTGAAACCTGCTCACAGCCCCCCAGGGGGCCCCGGACCCCTGGTTGAGAACCACTGCTTTAGACCTTATTTGTCTAGTTTATTTCTGTTTAAAAGTCAGTTGTACATGTCACATTGAGAGATGGGCCCAAGCTAAAAATTTGGATCCAGATCCGAGCTTTCGAGAGAGTTCATGGGGTTGGGATCTGGGATCTGATGATCCATTCTGGGATCATCTGTTGTTTCATCATCAAAGCCTCATTGTGTCCCCTGTAGGACAAAGTTCCACTCTTGTGACAAATTCTTCCTTTATTACACACACACACACACACAACTACCACTGACTTCAGTGGAACTTGTGCAATCAAGGGTAGAATTTGGTCCTATATTACCAAACATCCCAATTCTGGTTTAGATATAAGCATGTAGGCCCTACAAACTATTAACTTTGTTACTCTGTCTTCATCACAAATGCCTTAAGTTGTATTATAATAGAGCACGTATTCGTGGTGGTCGTTCCACTATAAGCATAGCCTGTCTTCCACCCCTCCTCCTTGTGAAATTGTTGGCACATTACCATGCCAATTATTCAGTCTTAGAGATGTCTTTTGTCTTGATTTATTGTTTTGCCTGTTTGTTTGTTTCCAAGTCTCGTCATAAGATGCAAGTCGTACCAAAACCCAGAGAAGCTATATTTCTTCTTCGAGCGGTTGCAGACATATTTTCCTCTCAGTTGTTCATGCCTAGCACACCAGAGACAGACATTTTTCCCTGCAGCAGTACCAGTCGGGGCAGTGTGCTCACCCTATACCTCCTCGTGTTTTTTTGTCTCTGTCTTTCACTTTTCTGTGATTATTTTATCTTGTCCCCGTCACGTCCTTCCTGTCTTTTTCTGGATCTTCAGTTAAACGTTTTCCTCTCTGTAGTTTTTGTTCTTAGTGCTGGATTTCTTACTCAAGGGTTTTCTTGGTAAAGTTTTGTAATGTTCTTCCTGATTTCTAATCTCAGCTTTATTTCTATTACTTTGTGCAGGTTTAAAGAGTACATTTTATTTCTGCATTCAAATCTCGTTTGTTTCTTTTTCCGCCCTCTGGAAATAGTCTCACCTGTTTAGTGGGGTGACTGTGGAATTTCATCATCTTTATCCTGGCCAATATTTTCCTGCCAGTGCTTATTCATGAGATCAGTGTTTGAATTCTTCCTCTTGGGATTTCTTCAAAGCTCTTAATCATTTATTGGAGAATTGTTATGTTATATGGGAGTTTAAAAAGCTGGATAAATTCAGTGCTGTTCTATACCACTTTTTTTTTCTTTCTTTCTTTGTAAAAATGATGGTACAATGGAGACAAAACCTGAAATAAACTAATATTTTTTTTGCCTACCTATATGCAGGAAAGAGATAATAAGAAATAGGCAAAATTTAAAAACATTCACTATCACTGCTAAGAACAAGTGAAAGAAAGTCCAACGGAAGATTTGGCTATACAAGGAATACAGGAGCAGAGCCAGATCCTCGGCCCCAGCTAATGAGCAGAACAAAGGAGACTTAAAAATGCCCTAAAGTTCAGTTGACTTCAGTTGATTTTCCAGCTTAAAAAGTGACCAGAGGCCCTGTGGCTATGTGTTCATAAGTCCCTGTGGTATGCTCTTTCTCGGTGCTCAAGGATTTACGCATGTGACTTCCTCACATGTTGAGATAAGAATGGGCGCTTCTTGAGAGAGGGAATAGATTTTTGAAGAACCTTATATTTGTGTGGTGATGTTCATAGGTATTGCAAGAGGGATTATATAATGTGTTTGGAGCCTATAGATAGATTGTGTCCGAACACGTGAACATGAGAACAAAGAATCTTCCAACCCCGAAGATAGGCAGATATGACTTGACTGTCCACACATCAAAAGACATGACTGTAATGAACAGTTGTATGAGCTCCAGCTGCTTTGACTGTGCTGTCTTTTAAAAACATCCAAGGAGAAAGGATGTAGCCTAAGGATATATTGATAGACTTTACCCAGGGGGATATGGGAGGTGGACATTCAGGAATTTAAATGGCCATAGACACACATTCAGACAGAGGTGCTTCAGAATCAGATGCTTTGGCATGCCACGGCTGACAGAAAATTTTAAACATTGCAATGGAAGCGTGTCTGAGTTCTAGCATGTTTGAAGAAAAGCAAATTACATTTCCTAAGTATCCCTTCCTCAGAGTTTTTGCTTAGCTGTGATGCTAAAGTGTGAGTGGTGCAGTGCAAATATAACAGGTAGCCATGCAGCCAAGTGGAATTGTAAGTAGTCAGACAACCTAATGAAAATTAATGTTTTCTCTTGGCATTTGTTTTGTACATTTTGTAAAGTTTGTTTTCTGATTATTTCTAAACATTCATCTGATAAAAGATGCTGTGGTTTTCTTTCTCTCATAATATATTTTGATATATGTTCCACGTTAAAGCCTTGTTGTAATGCCTTCCCATTGGGATAAAGACACAGTCCATTGGTCTTTCTATGTAAATTGGAAGAGATTATTTTGTAATCCAGGACATGTCAGTTTTGTCCTTAGAGGCTAATTGAAAATACAGAATGGATTTGGGTTGTTGGGTTTATATAAAGAATACATCCAAATTGCATCTGTATCTTTGCACAGTTTCAGTATGAAATCTACTAGTTATTGGTGGTGTATTATTTGTTTCTACATCAGGTATCAGTCAGCTGTCTCTAACCTTTACAAAAACTTTTTTAGGTTGTTAAACTGAAGGGCCAAGTCCTGTCAGTGATGTATCGTTTTCGTACCAAAAACCGGGAGTGGATGTTAATCAGGACCAGCAGCTTCACTTTTCAGAATCCTTATTCTGATGAGATTGAATACATCATTTGCACCAACACTAACGTTAAGTATGTGCTTTTCATGGAGTTTGAAATGCTTTTTTTTAAAGAATTTAATCTAAAAACATGCAGTTAAAACCAATGTAAAAACTCAAGGTCAGGTTCTCGTGGTGGCTTATTTCCAGTTGCATTCATTTATCCGTACCCCCAAACTATAGTCGGGTTGTCTACAATACAAATTCTCACCAATAAATGTTTCTGTTTAACATATATTGCCATATATTATGTGTCATTAGCATATGGGTGCAGCACAGATTAAAACAAATAACTATAACTCATGAAATCAGAAAAGCCCAACAGGCTTGATCCAGCCTCCATTGAAGGCTAGGACAAGGCCTCCAGCAGCACAATATCTGCCAAGAGCAGGATAGCTTAGAGAATTAATAATAAGGGTTGGCGATTTTCACCTCTTGGTATCTAGTCCAAATCCAGTTCAATTCAGTTGTGAGACTGGAGAAAAGTTAGCCCAGTTCATAAGCCCAAAGGGAAAGCTGCAGAGTTGCTTAAAGGAATGGCAAACTCACATAAACAAGTTTCCTGCCTCTTGTGTGCTATAACTGTGTACATGTCCTAGACCTGTTCCTCCTCTCCTTGACTCATCCCTATGACCTTGCAGCCAGTGGCAGTTTGCTAGAGTAACTCCTGAACGGACCATGGTAGGAGAAGACTGGCACTTACTTGGTGTTGGGGGTAAAGGTTACAAAGATGAACAGCTCCTTTGATTGTTTTCTTTGGCAGGCTCACATCAGCAGCTTATGTTAGGTTGGCATCTTAATGCCTCCCCGGTCCTTTAGAGCCATGTGCTCAAATAACTGTGAGTCTAAATTATTCTGGGCACAAGCTGTGATTATACCCATGAGAGAGGTTTAAGATGTTTAATCCCCAAACTGGTATTGTAGAGCTGCTTCCAAAGAAGTTCTCCTAAGAATCCAGTGCAGCCTAATTCACCGCATAACCTCATAACACAGACTATCAGAGCCAGCAGCTGCAGAAGCTAATGTGAGATGTTTTCTTCTGTTATGGATCTTTTCCCAACAAAATAATAATCTGATATTTTAAAAAGTGCTTTGGACTAAGCTGGGTGGGTTTTTTTTAACAAGTTTAAAACTCAAAGGGAAAGTTGAGATCTATGTTACAGTCCTGTTAGAATGTGTTATGGAGATCTCAAACAGGCACTTAATTAATGTAGATGGGCCCTGATAATTTCACTATCACAACCAACTCTCCTCTGGCTTTGCATTTTATAAAAATGGTAAGTATTCTTCCTCTGTTTCAACTATCACCCTATATTCTATTTTGTTGCTTAGGAGAGCATTTTGACAATGACACAGACTTGGACACTAAGGGTCACTTGAAACCCAGCCTCACCCTCAATATGCCTATTTTTGCATATCTTACCTGTTAGCCTATGCACCAGAGTTTATAAGGCTTGTAACTTGGTTATGAGTTAAACTCCCACAGTGCCCTGGGAATCATGCTGAGAAGAAAAAATCTAGTTTGCTAAGAATTACCAGAAAGATGTAACCTTTACAAGAATTGTTCAGGAAAGAATACTGTTTTTGTAGTGTCCTAACAAACAACTATAATGTTCGCTTAAGTCAGCAAAAATCTGATGTGCCAGACAGATAAACAGATGTTCAAATGTCCTGGAAATTTATGGGCAAAAATAATGTTGTTTAAAAATAAATTCCTCTGTGAAAAAAGAGGACATAAGTTACAGTGAAAATATACAAAGTCCTATAAAGGTACCAAATTGTAAGCTAACTTCAGAACGATGTCAAACAGTGTAAGTTGTTTGTGATCAGGCTGCAAAAGGTTTTTTTTTTTTACAGATTGAGGTATGCACTGTTCTGCTATGCACTGACCTAACACTACTTAAAATAAATGGTTAGAATTGGCTCTGAGGTCTCTTTTTAGTTGCCAACTAAAACCCTTATTGGTAACATATCAACCGTGCCTGAAAAAAAGGACATTCTACCCATTTGGAGTAAATAAATCTTGTTTATTGAAATCAGGGAGCTGGTTATTCAGCTGCCTCATTTGCACACCCAAATATTTATGTATGGGGGTGGAAAAGATGCACACCCATACTTTTGCACGTAATCATTTGCATACATAAAAACAAGCGTGCAAAATTAGAGACAATTGCTGATAACTGGATGCCAACTGAAATAATTGGCTTTTATTTCCAGAGTCCCGAGATCTAAATTTTGACCTATAAATTAAGTAGTGTTGACTATTGTGCCATATTTTCCTTTTCAAGATACCTTGGCTCCCTAGCACAGACTGGGATGAATAAAACTGTGCTAGTATCTGGATCCTGTCATATCTATCCTTACTTGGTTTTAAAAACAAACCAGAGATGTTTCCCTAATAAGGAGATTGGATGCTGTTAGTTCGACAGATGGTATTTCCACGTTATTTCTTATACAAAATGAAATTGCTAAATATGTTTTGCCTTCCCTCCTTCTTTGGAGAGCTGTGACACAATAAAAAAAAGTCTGTTTGTTTGGGTTTTTTTTTAAAAAAAAAGCTTGTAAATTTAAGTACTAGATTAGAAGGAACAGAACATCTATCTAGGTTGTGTTCAACTGACTTATTTTTTCTTTTCCCATTTCCTCTCTCCTTCCTACACACATGCACAGTGCAATTCTTACTGTTATGGCTCACTAGCTATTGCTATGCTTCACCTGTGTATGGATATATTATTTTCTGGATACTTTGGGGAAGAGTCTCGGCTTGAGTAAATAGTCACAGCTCTACCGACTTCTGCTCCCTTGCCATTTGTGTATGTATATGACGCTCACCTTCTGAAGGGCAGCTTTTCAGAATTAGCCTCTGATTTGCATGCCCATTTTTTGCATGTCTAATTGTAACTGAATCAGTGGAGGTTCATCTCTTGCATGCACAGATGGTTAATTGGCAAATGGACACTGGGCCCAACAGGCTGATTTACTTGAAGACACAGGGGGTGCATATTCTCTTTTACAGATGCAGTCAACTGTGTATGCAAAATCAGAAACAGGTTTTGATTTGTGTATACATTTTATAATGCATCTAGCACCATAGTATATTGGCTCAAGATTGCTTAAAAATTTGGCCACAAGTATTTGTTTGAGACAAGGGACCAGGTAAACATATGTTTAATTCTATTCTATATTTCGACAATATCCCTTTTAAAATCCTATTTTCTATGTCTGTCTGTCTGTATCTTTACGCAACTGGATATGGCAGTTGTCCACGCAACAAATATGCCCCCCGGCTTTCTCATTTAAAGAATATCTGGAAATGTTGAACAATAATAGGTTAAAAGGGCCTTTACAACTCTGCATTTTCAAACTATGCAGATGGCTTACCTGGCAAGGAGGTATGCGAGTATTGTGAGACATAATTGTCTTTGTCTATGTAGGTCTGGCCAGATTGAAGATTTATACATGCTCTACTTTCTTAAAACCTCTGTGGTCACCTGAAAAATAAGTGATTAGCCCCATTCCTGGCTCACATGCCTTTTACCTCACCAGCTTAAAAACTAGAATACTGGTTATGTAGTGAAAATGTTTTGATGGTCTGTGCTGTGGCCCTGTATGCCTACTCAGCCACAGAAACAAGAAAAAAGTGTGTGACTTAGCTTAAATAGTATATTTCTAACCCTTGTTGTTTTATTTTTAGAATTTGTTTTAGGGTGATAATTTTAAAGCTCTTGGAGGAAGGGTTTATCTTGTGAGGCTTTTTTTTTTTTTTTCATTTTAAAATTGATATTCATTTTACTGAGCTGTGTTAGTTTTAAACCATGTATTTTATCTTACAGGCATTCTGACCTGAGACTGATGCTATGTTAATACGTTTGATTTGATATATAGATATATGTTGATAAATAGCTATCAATTGAATTCAGAGAGAAGTCTGTTTTGTCTGCCAGTGATCTCTATTATTAGAAAGGTTTCATTTTGTGTTTCCCAGTGAATGCAGTTTGTTTTTCAAAGAGGACTGTAGAGGGCAGTGGTGGTCATGGTTGTTTTTTAGAATATTGTTTTGGAACTTGAAGCAGTTGACTTTCCCAACTTCTTTTCTGTGTTTAGTACCTTGCCAAAAAATTAGCTTGGTTTCTTTTGGATATAATCATCCAAAAGAAACTTCCTGCAGAAATGAAGTATTTAACGTTTAGCATTTGTACTGTGTTCAGCTGAAAAGGAGACCGCCACACGTCACCTCACCACATCATCTTCCTCTTCGAGTTCCAGAAAAAATTGACTAACATTTATTTAACACACAGGTTGAGGTGCCTTTGAATGAGCCCGTCTACCCTGAGATGGATGAACAGTTTCTTAATTTTGTATGCACAGAGAGAAGAAATGGGTTGTTTCCTAACCTTTAGAGATCTTGATGTTTTCATTTTTCATGAGCCTGATTGGATTATTGTGTATATTGATGAATCCAGGACTTCTGTTGGTCTTGAAATATTCTAGTGGTAGAGTTGCAGTCCTCCGAAGGATCTGGTGCAGGTTGCTACCAGAGGCAGAATTCTGGCTGAATCAATGGACAGCTCTGGTTGATTACTGCCTCTGATTAAGGTGCAGTAGAGTAGACCAGTTGTGAAATCAGCTGTTTCAGTGAGATTCTATCCCATGATAGTGAAGATAGCAAAACCTTATTTTCAAAGTAGTAACTGGGACAATGTCCATCTATTACTAATAAAAATGGACTAGGGGTGATATCTCAAGTCTGCATCTACTCATTTCTCCCCAACAAGAAAACTGCCCACTCTAAAGTTTGAATTCTTCTTGACCAATTTGAAGCCAGGACAATAAGTTGGTGACTCCAGAGTTTATGCAGCGAGACACCGGTATTCAACTAGAAAATTCTCCAGTTTCAAAAGGAAACTTGTATAGAGTCTTTTATTCCAGTATTTGCTTAGATAAGCACAGTGAGAGGTTTTCACAGAGACTCCCATCATGAGCCAGGAATTCTAGCAGTTACCTGGGGAATTCTCAGTTGACCCAGACAATATTCCACTTGCTATGTAGGATATCATCTTTTGAACCAGAAAATTCATCTTTCATGGCTTCCTCTAAGCCGTGGATCCTAAAATCAAAAGCAGGGTCAGTTTTGGCTTTCACTTGCAAACCAAAACAAGAGGATTGAATTTTTCCAAAACCATCCTGGCTTGTCCCATTGTTACACATCTGATCTGGAAATCTAATGACTAAAGGGATCTATATGTAATAATCATCCATTCAAAAGGGCAGCAGGTGAAAGAGTATCTAAACCAATCCCAACAACAAGATTCAACTGTGCCTAGTTTGGCTGTTCTCTGAAACATTGCATATTTTCTTAAAGAGCTAAAACCACATTTCCTATTAATACTTGCTAAAAATGAGAAACCCAACCCACTTTTAAAATTAAATTAGAACTGAGTAGTACAGTTCAATGAACTTAGTACAATACAATGCAATGCAGAGAAGATGCATTTAAATATTTGTTCTTTATAGTTAGTTGGATTTTGTACAGTTTGCCTTGTAAGCAAATATTGATCTAGTCTGGTACTTATTCTGCAGTGTAGGTTAACAAATGCTACTGATGAGTATCTTCAAATAGAGACAGGCGGAGGAGTTCCAGGTTAGACAAGTGCTGGCAAACAAACAGAGCTAATTAAGTATGCTATTTTGTTTGACTCATTTGTGTATCTATGGCTGAATCAAGAGAACACACTTTATACTTAATAGAAGAGACCTAAAGTACTGTTTATTGACACACGCACCATATAGTCAGTAATAAAACATTTGAAACAATGGAATTAGCTTTCACGTTAACAACACAATTTAATGGGTTTTTATCGTCCAAAGAATGGTGTTTGGAAAAATTTCCCCATATATTTTCAGTGATTAAATTGCTTCCTGGAGTTTTGTTGGAAAAGCATATATTTGCTTACTGAATAAATAATCCCTTTGCATACAGTAGTGGATTTTTTTAGACGTACTCATTTTCTATTTGATAAACTATTAATGAAAATCCATGGTCCAAGGAATACTTGGGAAATACCTTTTCTGTGTGCGCCACTTGGTACAAAAATGATTCTTTATTATATAGTGTATGTCTCCAGCTGTTTGGGATTTGAATCTCTGATTCAAGTTCTTGATAGTAATGGACAGCTTTAAAATATGGTTTTGATAAGGATCTAACTTTTTGGGCCATAGCCCAGAATTTATCCAGATAGTTGAGGTCCATCTCCCTGGTATCTTGAACCCCATTTTTTTCCACCACTACTACCCCATCCATCTGTAATATCTTCCAGCTTGAGGAAAAAGGCCCAGTGGTTTGCAATTCCTGTCTATGAAGCCTCGTTCTTCTTCAGGAGGAGGCCAGGGGCATGCTACCACCAAAACACTGGATCTTATTTACAGGTGGCCTACTTTCCTATCAATCCAATTCTGGTCTTGCTGTCACCTCTATCTCACAGCCTTGGTGTCTGTCTTCCTGTGAAAAATATCCCTGGTGGCTGGGTATAGGTCATAGTAAGGGTTAGACCACAATGGATGGGTCAGCTGCCTTTGAGCCCCTCATGCCATAAATAGCATCACTAGATGTGACCAAGAGACAGAAAGGAACCATTAGCAGAACTAGTACAAGCCAAATTTGCCTCTAATTGTCTTAAGCCATCAGAAGCCAAAAAAATCAGATAAATGCTGATACTCTGTAGAAACAGTATTGATTTATGGACGGTTTTCAGCCTGCAACGTTTGGTGTCATTCACAAATGTTCCTCTCCCGTCTTTAAGAGGCGAATGGTTAAAACAGAACTGCCCTGAGACTACTCAGGTCCTTCACCTCAGACCAAATCCAAATACTTGTTATGGGCGAAATAGTGCTTTTCATCAGTAGTTCTCAAACTATATGAGTTATATAAGTAGTAGTAGTAGTAGTATTTTATTATTATTATTTTGCCATAATATTGCCATAATCTGCACAGGAATCTACGAGATTATAAAACGAGGAAATAATTTTCCCACCTGTTGATTGCTGTGGGCCCGATGCTGCTCCCATTCAAGCCAGTGGGCACTTTAATATTGACTTCAGCAAGTCCAGGAACAGGCCATGCGTATTGCTCTTCGCAGATTAAAGAAGTCTAATTGGCATTTTAAAAATAAATGACATTTATGAAGAAGTTGGGTGTGTAAGGAATGCAGGATACAGCCCAGAACTCCTTGGAAGTCAATGGGAGTTTTGGTGTGCAAGGCATTGTTGATCCTGTTATGCTCAGCAAGAACAGTACTGTGTTTTGAGGTTTTCTCAGTAAGAAATCTTTAAAAATATTTTGGCTTTGCAGGAAATGGCTTGTCAACAAAGACTCTGAAAGCGGCTACATTTGCTATGGGAATTTAAAGGAGCGAGCCAAGCCTCCTTCTCGGTTTCTTAATTATATTTTTTGTAACTCTTGTCATTTCCTCTCGAATTTGCAGACAGCTTCAGCAACAGCAAGCCGAGCTTGAAGTACATCAGAGAGATGGGTTGTCCTCCTATGACTTATCTCAGGTGATATCTCTGGGTGGTTTTTGGTTTTTTTACTGGTTTCTCTGATCTTTGAAACACAAAGTGATTAAGAATCTAAACAAAACAAAAAGACACTGTGGCTATACTTGAGCTTATTGTGTCAAATATGGAATGGGAGAATTACATTCTTTGCATGTGTCAACAACAGGTACCTGTTCCAAATATACCAGCTAACGTTCATGAGGGTGGAAAGCCAGTGGAGAAGCCAGACGCTATCTTCTCCCAGGAGCAGAATCCTAGGTTTGCTGAGATGTTTGCAGGAATAACTGCTTGTAAGTGAGAGCCTCTGGTATTTAATTTTTAATACTGTCTTTGTAAGCTGTAGTCATGACCTTAAGTACGATTACGTAACATGCAAGCCCCCCTTCATTTTCAGTTTAAACCTGTTTTTACCGAAAAATTCCTGGGTTTTACAAAAAGTAGTTTTCCATTTTTTTCTGATTTTCTACTTTTCTGTCATTCAAATATATTTTTTAAAAAACGTTGTTTGGTTAGGAAAATACAATCCGTTGCATGAGATATGTGTATTACGATAATACATTAGTCTCTGTGTATATACAAAGCTGCCTGTTAAAGGAAGGCTATGTATTAGTCTACAAGATACACACAATAAACAAACAGGCATGCACGCAAGTTCTGAAGTACATGCACATCTGAACGTACTGATGAATCTCACGCCCACCCACATACACATTCCAAGATATTAGCAGGTAATGGTTTAAAGATTTGACACGCTACAATGGGAAGAAAACACAAATCTATACATTTCAGAACACAAAGTATTCTAAAGTTTTAAGAAGACAAAAGCAGGAGAAAAGGATAAAGCTGAGTGTATGCGCTGCAAGCGGTGCGGCCCAAATATTAAATGTAAATATATTTATAGGGGGGAGGGATAGCTCAGTGGTTTGAGCATTGGCCTGCTAAACCCAGGGTTGTGAGTTCAATCCTTGAGGGGGCCATTTAGGGATCTGGGGCAAAAATTGGGGATTGGTCCTGCTTTGAGCAGGGGGTTGGACTAGATGACCTCCTGAGGTCCCTTCCAACCCTGATAGTCTATGATTCTATGATAGGTGAATAGTTCTAAGTCTACAGCAATAAACTATTTATTTATTCAAATGAAAAGTTTCATTTGGGGATTAGAGATGTATTGTTTTCTTAAACTCAGAGGTGGCATTGTGTTTTGGGTTCTGTTTTAGTTCTGCAGAAAACCACATTGATGAACAGAATTCCCTGTCTTTCCATCCACAAAAATAAACCCAGATATTTACCCAGAAAAATTAACAGTTTTTTGCACTGATTTTCACCTGTTTTTGTTGTTGTGATAATAAACACTGATAAATTCCCAGGGAAAATTAAATAAAATAAAAACTGAAAATGAAGGGCCCTAATAATATTAAACTGTTTTGAAAGAACAAAAAAAAGCATTGTGGCAGAGAAGTCACGAGGCAGGTGAGTCTCAAAGAACGATGCGTAGAATTTGTTGGAAATAGATATTTCCCCCAAAAAGGAAGCTGAACGAAACTCAGAAGGTTTGAGGACAGGCTGATACACTGTCCAGCTCCACTTAGAAGCCACCCTCTATTCTCACTTAGTAGCCACATCTTTCCCATGCAGTTTTGAAGTAGCCATCCTTTTTTCAAAAAGAAAAGGAGTACTTGTGGCACCTTTGAGACTAAGCAATTTATTTGAGCATAAGCTTTCGTGAGCTACAGCTCACTTCATCAGATGCATAAAGTGGAAAGTACAGTGAGGAGATTTTATATATACACACAGACCATGAAAAAATATACATTGTAAGGAGAGTGATCACTTAAGATGAGCTATTACCAGCAGGAGAGTGGGGTGTGGGGAGAGAAAACCTTTTGAAGTGATAATCAAGGTGGGCCATTTCCAGCACATTTCCAGGAGTTAACAAAAAAGTCTGAGGAACAGTGAGGGTGTGGGGGGGGCGGCGGAATAAACAAGGGGAAATAGTTTCACTTAGTATAATGACTCAACCACTCCCAGTCTCTATTCAAGCCTAAGTTAATTGTATCCAATTTGCAAATTAATTCCAATTCAGCAGTCTCTCGTTGGAGTCTGTTTTCGAAGTTTTTTTGTTGAAGGATACTCACTTTGAGATCAGAAGGTTTTCTCTCCCCCCACCCCACTCTCCTGCTGGTAATAGCTCATCTTAAGTGATCACTCTCCTTACAATGTATATTTTTTCATGGTCTGTGTGTATATATAAAATCTCCTCACTGTACTTTCCACTTTATGCATCCGATGAAGTGAGCTGTAGCTCACGAAAGCCTATGCTCAAATAAATGTGTTAGTCTCTAAGGTGCCACAAGTCCTCCTTTTCTTTTTGCGAGTACAGACTAACACGGCTGCTAATCTGAAACCTTTTTTCAAAGGCACACTTCTCAATGCAACTCATAAAAGGATGTAAACACGTTTAATAGATCTTCCAGCTTCTAAAGTTGGAAATAACCGTCTTTCTCAGACAGTATATGACAGTGTGGCTCATTGAGACGGATTGGAGTAGCAATGCTATGAAGACTGTGTAATATTGGCTTACAATTTAAAAAAAAAATCTATTTTTGTGGATAATGTTAGGTGTAATATTTTTCCTTGTTTGTTTTTTAAGTGTTCGCTGTTCTTAACCTTCCCCACTTCCCCCAGAGTGAAGAAGTTTTATTTTTGTTTTAAATAAATCAATGCGCAAGTGTCTTGGAGTGAGGGAGGAAATGACCCATTGTGTTTAACTACAGGGGTATAAGGAGATGACCTCACTGTATGAGTTTCTTATGTACAGCTTGACCTTTTCAAACTGTGAAGTCACTGTAACTTCAATATAGACTTGATATTCTGTCTCTTTGTTGCTGAGACTTATGCTATTCCTGTTCATCCTTGTCTGTTTACTCTTAGAGTGAAGTCAGTATCTGGGGCCATAAAGGGGGTCTGCTGGAAGGTAGCAAGACTCCAACCCTAAACACTGGAACAATGTTTTCCAAGCGAGAACATCTTGCTTTCTGGCTGCTTTATTGGCTAATACTCAAACAGCTCTGAACTGTTTGTGTGACTAGGTCAGGGTTAAGGGTGTAGCAAGCTGTGAGGTGAGCTCAGGAGTTGTGTTCTTGGAAATGCCATTTCACTTTTCATTTTTATCAATTTACAAGCTGTGCTTTTTTTCGGATGTGCTCCCTATGTGAGTATCTCATGGGAGCCATGATCAGCGACTCTTTTAATGATAAAAAGGGAGGGCTCTCAGTTAGAGGTGTGCTAAAGTGTCCAAAAACAATATTGACAAACTTGCATGCTGCTTGCAGACACTTGCTTTGTACTGATACTAGACTTCTTTCTCCAGTTTGGCTTATAAAAATAGTTTAGCGCTGACAAACACAGGATTTTTGGGTGCCCTGCATCTGTTGCACTACATCAGCTACATGTTTTATTAAAATAAAAGACCTCATGCTTTACCCATCCATGCCTTCTGAGCAGTAGCCATTTTGAGATACAGCACTGTTTAATGTGGTGCCACCGTTGATCGCTACTGAGCTTTGGGGCAAGTTGGGCAATTTACCCACTCAGTGGAGAGAAGCAGGGAAAAGACGTCCCATCCCGTCCCTACCTCCCCCTACCTGTGCTTCCCTCCTGCTTCCTGTGGGAAGCTCCACTGTCCAGGCTACTCTACTTCAGGCTGTCAGTGGCTTTGGCCCCAATCTCCACTGCCCGGTCCCAGTTGCCGCATCCCAGCTCCCTCTGTGCTGATCTGCCACGGAGCCACCCCCACCGGTCCCAGCAGCAGTGGGGGGGAAGGGGAGAGGTCCCATTTCTGCTAGGAGGGGAGTGGAAGGGAGGGAGAGATCCTAGCCAATCCTGGCCTCTCCAGTGGAAGGAATAAGAGTTCATGGTAGGATCTCTTCCTCTCCCTGCCCCATGCTCTCCGCCCCTTGGAGGGGCTGGGACTAGGTGAGACCTCTCCCCCTTCGCTCCCACTGTGGCCAAGGAGGGCCTGCCTCTCTCTCCGCCCCCCTGCCCCCTCCCGTCCATTGTGCCCCTGGAGTCTGTGCCAGTGGTTGGCCAGAAGTGTAAGGTGTAGAGTGCCCTAATGTGTTGCGCTCAGCTGCCCCATGTAAACCCTGCTGGTGTGCTCTAAAATGTACCTGGTTTACCAGCATGGTCTATATGGTGCAGGTAGAGCCCAGCACTTGAGAGCACTCTACGGTTGCCTTGTGGCCTGGGTGATAAATCCAGCACCACAAACCCCACAGGGAACCGCTGCTGCCTCACCTCCTGCCAGACCTTGGCTGCACAGGCTGCACGTCCGCCACAGAGGCGGAGGAGAAAAATGCCCTGCTGCTAAATCCAGATTACGAACGCAGCAAATCTACAGCAGGCTGCCCTAGATTTGCTGTGTTTGTGATTTGGATTTAGTCTCTCTCTCACTCTCACGTTATATATTAAACAAACAGGCTGTGTCGGCTTCCCTACTTTGGTGGGGCAGTGCCCTGCCGCTGCGTGCTGCGCCTCTGGCGGTCTGGGTATTGCAGGAGTCAAAAAGGGGGGTGTAGGCCCTGGTTGGGGAAGAGTAAATGAGTAACTAGTGAGGGTATGGGGATAGAAAGTAGGGGGATTTTGAGCCTAACAGACTAGAGGGCACCTGGCAAAATACCAGTGGACTGCAAGGGTGTGTTTATTGCTATGCTATAAGGGAAGAGCTGAGAGGCAGAGGGGGAAAAGGCAAGAAGCGGAGGGCTGGATTCTGAGGTGTGACTAGAGTACTCAGCAGAGTTCAGGAGGGAGCAAAGTTTCTGTTTAAACCACTCCCAGTCCTCAGTAGCTCAGCACCTGGAAGCTACTTTTAACTGCATCTTCTGCCAGTGGTCCCCAGAAGCTGTTTTGGCAGCTGGTGATAGCAGGAGCATAGGGATACCTCGGCCATCCCCTGTGTCACTCTCTTGTGCAATTCTGTGACACCTGAGGAATTCCCCTTCAGAGAGGGAATCCTCCAGCTGGCTGAGGTCAGCCAGTTCTAGAGTATCTAGAGCAGCTTCATATTGCAGAGCTGCTGCAGCATATCCTGGGATCCATCTGACCCACTCTTTCTAAATACAGAGAGGATGATCACCAAGAGAGGATCAAGTGAAATCAGAGGAAAAGGAGGGGCCTCCCTGGTTTATAGCGTTATCGGAGGTGTGTGGCAGCAGACAGTCATGAAAAGATCAGCAGTTTTTTGCACTTAAAGGTGATGAGGGAAGATAGGAGGTGGAGGAGGAAAGGTGGAGCAGGGCCTTTACGTTGTTAAAGGGGAATTGAGGGTTGCCAGTAGCTTTGGCAGTTGTAGCTGTATAAACAAGCATTGCAGAGGGGAGGTTCTATAGTTTACTGAGATTTTCAGATCTCTTAGTGGATTCTCAGAGCAGAGAGCTTCTGTTCCTTCTCAAAGTACCAGCCGAGATAGTTAGCAAAATATAAATTCAAAGTTGATTCATGCTTTATCCCAGTCATGGTACTATTAAGAAATCTACTGGTGAGTGTGTATGTTAGAGGGCTGCCTCTGTGCTGATCTGCAGAGGATATGAGTTCTTACATCTCCCCACTGGGGCGGGGAGATATTTTTTAGCTCAGGCTTTAGCAGCTCATGCCTTTAGTTCTGGAGGTCCCTGGTTCAATCCCTGGTGTGTCAGCTGTTAGAATTACACAAGAGAACTTCCTATTAAAAAAGTGAATGGCCATGTTTGCCCTGCATTGTTTTAGCAAATGAAGAGACTGATCACAAGAGTAAATGTGTTTATTTACAGTGTAAGAACAGAATATAAAAGTCAATGGCATCTCTGTATGCGTCTCATTTACAGTGCCTTTGTATGATTATGTTAATCTTTAATTCCATTGGGACACAGCCTAGTTCATGGCCTGCTCAAGCCAGTTTGTTGTCAGAGTAAAGAAAGTAAGCTTCACTGTGTCCCGGAGAGACTCAGTTTTGCCTTAAATTACTGCTTACATATCTGATCTGCAGACCTCACAGAGACAAAATTCCTACTGAGTAAAGTGGGATTAATCTGTATTTAAGGGGCTACAGATCATCCTGATTTGTGAGCAAAATTCCACCACAGTGCCTGGAAGAACCAGGACTATAATTCCCGCTACTGCTGAGGGGAGTAGATTGTAAGCTCTTTGGGGAAGGTACAGCTTTTTGTTCTGGTTGTACAGTGCCGAACACAAATTAGTCTTAGCTGCTATAGCAATACAAATAGTTAATACTATATTAACAACAATAGTAGTGTTGTCTCACGCCCGGCAGATTATCCAAGACCTGTTCACCCCGCTATAAAAAACTGAGGAGGCCTTTTCTTTCGAAGACTGTTTAAAAAATAAATAATAAAAATAGCTCTCCCATACAAGAAATAACCTCCAGTCACTGTTACTACAGATTTGTTAGTTCTGCAAGTCAGGAACAGATTTTTCAATGCTGATGTAACCTTAGACCACACTGAGTAAGCCCGAATGACAAAGAAATATCTGTTTGCATCCAGAAGGATATAGTCTCTTCCCAAGGCAAATGTGTAACCTCCATTAACATTAATTCAGTCTCTTCTGGAAAAGAGTTAATGGAATTAATAGAAAATGGTTACCTTTCTGTAGAATTTTTAAGCCAACCTGTTGCATTCTGTAGCAGAGAGAGAGTTCATTATTACATCCTATGGACTGATTTAAAAATTCCATAGAAAGCACCTTTTGACCTTGGTTTAATTTCCATACAGCCCTATTGGTTTCATCCATACTGGGTTCCATAGGGCCTTCCCATAAGGGATTAAAAAGGAGAATGTTACTCACACCATGTAGTTTGTATACATGTTATTTTCTGGTGAACAAATTGTTAATTTATTTCGTCCTCTCCTAAGAGTTTCTTTGATGGTTTGTTTTTTTTATAGCGGATAAAAAAATGATGGCCTCTGCGTCCCCAGCAGGAAACCAACAGCTTTACTCTCAGGGGAGCCCATTCCAGCCAGGGCATTCAGGAAAGGCTTTCAGGTACAGTACCTGGGGCAGCACCAATAGCTTCCGTACACGAAAGGGAATGACATTTTGATTCTGTGGAGGCAGAATACAGGTAACGCTAACACATTTCCTGTACAGCGTGAATCATTCTTCCTTTGTGTCAGCTTGGCTCCCACACAAAAGTTCATCGGGAAGAATCAGACTGTAGGCAAGACCTATCGTAAGTCATTTTCAAACGTGTATAAGTTGGGTGTGTGAGTAGCTTCTGAAATATTTTTTAGTCTACTAGCTGATACTATAGGTTTGACAGACTACTTGAAGTTTAGGAATTGGCACACACTTGAGATTTCTGTAGCCATTGTGGTTAGATTTACTTTAGTATTAGTCCTGTTTTAGTAAAGAAGATTTATGACTGTTCACTGAATGGCCTAGCTGTTAATGAAGCCTACCTGCTTGAAGGCTAATCTGTTCCTCTTTGTTCTCCTGTTGCTTAAAGTGACCGAAGAGAAACTGTCTTGAGCAACTATATTGTAATGAACTCTATTTAATGAAATCCCAAGCTATGCATGCAGGTAGCTGTTGTAAATGAGTTTGTCGTTAGGTTAATACTTTGGTCTAGCCAATGTTTTGAAAATGAAGGAACAACCATTCAAATGCAATAACTGTTGGTTATGAGGTCTATGAATTAGAAATTTAATACGTGCTATAATTTTATAGAATTCAGTGTGTTCTTAACCTTGTAATTGGCAATGATATCACAAGTTTTCTTTAATTAGATCTTATATGATATTTCAACATGTAAATTGTCAGTAGCCATCTTGACGTGTGGCATGTTTTGTTGTTTTTATTTTGTTGGGTTTCTTGGAAATTTAACTGTAGCTTCATTGTAGCTTGTAATCTGCCCCACTAACCAGTGGCACAAAGACAAATGCCTTGATGAGCTCCCCTACTAGGACACCCAACTTTGGATCCAGTATAGCAGTCTGGTGCAGTTCTGTTGCCCCATCTCAGAAAAGATATATTCGAATTGGAAAAGGTACAGAGAAAGGCAACAAAAATGATTAAGGGTATGGAACAGCTTCCATATGAGGAGAGATTTCAAAGACTGGGACATTTCAGCATGGAATAGAGATAAGTAAGGGGAGATATGATAGAGATCTATACAATCATGAATGGTGTGGAGAAAGTGAATAAGTACTTTTTCACACAACACGCAGTCAACCTGTGAATCTCATAGCCAGGGGATGTTGTGAAGGTCAAAACTATAATGGGGTTCAAAAAAGAATTAGATAACTTCATGGACGATAGGTGCATCAATGGCTGTTAGCTAACATGGGCAAGGATACAATCTCTGGTTGCCCCTAGCCTTCTGTTCATTTCCTTTGAAGCACCTGGCATTGGCCACTGTTGGAAGACAGGATACTGGACTAGATGGACCATTGATCTAACCCAGTATGGCCATTCTTATTTTTTTATATCCCACGTGCTCTTGGCCTTTGGGGGCTGGGCAGAGTTGTGGCACACTGCCTCTATGGCTCTGGGCCTCTACTCTCATACTCCAGGTGCAGACCCCATGCCTGACACCCCTCTTGGCAGTGGGGACGCCATCGAATAGTTGCTTAGGCCCAGAAACTAGCACCAGACTCCCAAATAGTTGCATGCGTCTATAGATCCACTGAAGCTGTGAACCCTCCGGTTTCCTATTTCCCTCTTCAGGGACTATATGAGAGCGAAAGCAAGTAATACAGACTATGCAAAGGAATTTCTAAACACACACACGTTACATTGAGGTAGCACAAGAGATATTCAGATCTACAAAAAAACAATAAACCCAGCATACAAATCCCTACCTCAATTTCTCTACCACTCCAAGAGCCCTTTGCGATTTGGTCGGTATCTTTTCAGGGAATCCAGAATTCCTCCTCACTTCATCCTATTCAGCCTTGACTCCTTCTGGTCCTGGGTCTGCTCCCTGTCCCTCCTTTCCCCATCTAAAATAGCTGCAGTCCTGTTTGTCAGGTAACTTTCCTCAGTGACTTCAAGTCCCTTATCAGAGACTTTGTGGTTACCAGCTTATCTAGTTGAACTGATTCCTTTGGCTGCAGCTAACTCATTGTCTTATGGTGCTTGCATGTGAATGGGAAACAACCCTTGATTGCTCTGTATTGTTAGACACTTCTTGGAATCCCAGTCCAAGATGGAGTAAAAAACAGTTTTATAATCAAAATGACATTCACAAAAGCAAAATGGAGGTTGTAATTTGATACAGACATACATAAATCCATAACAGCAATCTATTCGTTTTTGTAAATTATTCAATAATTTAACACAGAAAGAGTAAAGGCAAAGATAAAAAATTACTACAGAGGCTCCCCGTTTCCACCCCTGGGCAAAACCCAACAACAAATCACTTATGAAGTGCAGTCCATATATGAGATCCAGAACATGTTCTTTCAGATAAAATATTGGGATTCATGGATGTATATTTAAGTTTATGTATCAATATGTGTTTTATAGCTAGTATAGTCACTAGGTCCAAAGATTTCCATACAAAGAACACTGAACAAAAAAAAGTATAATTTTCATTATAAGGTTAAAATATTTCAAGATCTGGGAAACAATAAATTGTAACTTACATAAATTCTGTTAGGAATCATTTTTTCCTATTTGTATTTTTCTGCTTTTTTGTTCCAGGGCTCAAAACACTAGTTCGTTTGATTTGTAACTGTGATATCTTTTAGCACCACTGGGAGAAAACAAGAATTAAAAGCAGCTAATCAAACATACATCTTTGTTACATAACACATATTTTCTTCTTTTTACAGAAAGAATGCAACACTGACAAGAAACAGGTTAAAGAATATTTATGAATTGCATCCTTTCAGAAGCCTCGATTCAGGACAGCATTTAAGCATGTGCTTAAGTACCACTGACTTTAAGCACATGTTTAAAGTTAAGTACATACTTAAGTGTGGTCCTGAGGAGAGCTACTTTCCTGAATTGGGGGCCAAACCAATATGGAAAATAATTTAATTACACATCTTTCTAAAATCCTCCCCTTGGTTGTACTCATGCAAGCCCTTTGGATGAGATTGCATGGATCTAACTAAGAAGAATTTGGCGCACTGTGTCTGCATAATCAGTCTGATATTTTAGAATTTCAAAATACCTGATAGTTTTAATACTGAAGTCATGTCATTTTCATTTAGTCCTTATGCAGACAGTCTGGAATAACTTGCCTTAATGGGTTCATTAACAAAATTTCAGTATCTGGCATACAATTTATGCGTCATAAATATTGTATTATCACCTACAAGCCATTTTCTGTTCTTTCCCCTTTAGCTCATCTGTGGTACATGTGCCTGGTGTGAATGATATCCAGTCCTCTTCTTCAACAGGCCAAAATTTGACACAGATCTCTCGTCAGTTAAATCAGAGTCAAGTCACCTGGACAGGGAGTCGTCCACCATTTCCAGGACAGGTGTGTGTTTGATTAAGAGGTTTTTAGGGGCATTCTAGTTAAGCAGATTTTACAAAAAGAACAAATCAAACTCCTTGATTAAAATTTGGTAAAATGTACCTTTTATGTTATTTTTTTTTTTAAAAATGGTAATGAAATCAGTTCCTCTGTTTCTGATTTACCTGGTCAAAATAGAAAAGCTCAAGGTTGGATGCTCCTTTGCATAATTCTGAAGGAAAAACAGGGTTATTTGGGCAAATATTTTTGTGTATATATATATATATATATATATATATACAGACAGACAACAAGGGTGAAAAATCAGGACGGGGGTAGGGGGTAATAAGTGCCTATATGAGAAAAAGCCCCAAAAATCGGGACTGTCCCGATAAAATTGGGACATCTAGTCACCCTATGTATACATACATGGCCCCCACAGAAATCCCAGTTTAATCCTCATTCCTGTATAGATGTGTGTTTTAAGTGAAATCAACAGGACTATGCACAGTTAAGCTTGGGCATTAAGTTTCTGCTGGACAGAGGCCTAAACGGGCATGTCTACACTACCGCTGGGAGCAAGCCTCCCAGCCCAAGTAGACAAACTCACGCTATCTTTGCTCGAGCTAGCACACTAAAAATAGTAGTGTGGATGTGGCAACTCAGACAAAGACTCGGGCTAGCCACTGAACTCAGACCTAGGGGCCAGGTGGGCTTGAGAGCCCAACGTGCCACCCAAACCACAGTCCACACCACCGTTTTTAGCATGCTAGCTCAAGTGGAGCTAGCATGAGTCTGTTTACGCAGGCTGGGAGGCTCCCAGTTAAAATACAGGCATACCAATTTGCCCAACTCTGCCATATACAGCCTGTAGTACATACTGAGAATGACAAGTGATCTGAATACAGTACGATGCAGAAGCCAGTGTGTTAAGTACTGATTAAATTTTGGTAAATTAAACTCCTTGATTAAAATTTGGTAAAATGTACCTTTTATGTTATTTTTTTTTTAAAAATGGTAATGAAATCAGTTCCTCTGTTTCTGATTTACCTGGTCAAAATAGAAAAGCTCAAGGTTGGATGCTCCTTTGCATAATTCTGAAGGAAAAACAGGGTTATTTGGGCAAATATTTTTGTGTATATATATATATATACAGACAGACAACAAGGGTGAAAAATCAGGACGGGGGTAGGGGGTAATAAGTGCCTATATGAGAAAAAGCCCCAAAAATCGGGACTGTCCCGATAAAATTGGGACATCTAGTCACCCTATGTATACATACATGGCCCCCACAGAAATCCCAGTTTAATCCTCATTCCTGTATAGATGTGTGTTTTAAGTGAAATCAACAGGACTATGCACAGTTAAGCTTGGGCATTAAGTTTCTGCTGGACAGAGGCCTAAACGGGCATGTCTACACTACCGCTGGGAGCAAGCCTCCCAGCCCAAGTAGACAAACTCACGCTATCTTTGCTCGAGCTAGCACACTAAAAATAGTAGTGTGGATGTGGCAACTCAGACAAAGACTCGGGCTAGCCACTGAACTCAGACCTAGGGGCCAGGTGGGCTTGAGAGCCCAACGTGCCACCCAAACCACAGTCCACACCACCGTTTTTAGCATGCTAGCTCAAGTGGAGCTAGCATGAGTCTGTTTACGCAGGCTGGGAGGCTCCCAGTTAAAATACAGGCATACCAATTTGCCCAACTCTGCCATATACAGCCTGTAGTACATACTGAGAATGACAAGTGATCTGAATACAGTACGATGCAGAAGCCAGTGTGTTAAGTACTGAGTAGCAACCCAATCATTAAATGCTCTTGTTTTAATCTGTTTAAATAAGACTAGTATTAATACTATTTTAATAATAATTGTTTGCATTCAGTTTTCTTATATAGTCTATAAAGGCACTTTAAGGTATGCACTCAATCATTTTACCAGCAGCTTAATTATTTCCATATTAGTTTCCTAGTTTCACACACAGGCTGACCAGTCCTCAGTTTGCATCAGTTACTCTGCCATATCTATTCCATATCCTAAAGAAATCAACTTGAAATAATATTTTGACACATTTTCATTTGTATGCTGGATAGGAAGGACATTAATGATTACTGATCAAAAATGTGACATCTCCCCTTAACCTAAACGATCAGCCTGGTCAAGTCTGCATCACCAAAGTACAAATTTAGGGAACTCAGAATGTGTTTTACCATCTTAAAAAAATCAATAAAGCCTTACTGAAGACTGCTTTCATTGTCATAATGGGGACCTTCAAAGCTAAGTTACTTCTTAGCTAGTAAGTAAACTGAAGACTTGTATTTTCATCATGTTGTTTGCCTGTTGGGATCTATTTCCCCCCCTCATTTGCATAAGAGAATAGCTGCACTTCAGTGCATTGATTGCCTATAAGATGCACACCATTAAATGTATCTAGAGATGTTACTGCTTTTAATTTCAAACAGCAGAACTTGTTAAATACCAGTCTTCTGTAGAGCTGCTGGGCTGGTTGATAGGGGAAAAGGGACTACATTGTTGGTAAGTGGGTTTGATTACTGGCGCTATCTGCTAGTGTATTTTGTTACTTTGAGCGAGACACTTACCCACTTCTTGTCTCATTTTAACTATCTCACAGGGGTGTTGTACTATTTAATTATTTGTAACATACTTTGAGATCCTTTGAAGTCATTATAGAAGTGTAAAGTGTTATTGTTCTTGATTTAGCTGAACCATCCCCTTTAAGCAAAGTTTGGTTATTTTTCCCCTGCAGTAGTAGTGCTGGGCATCCCCACCAAGTCTCTCATGCAATTGCTGACTGCTTGCTTAAGGCAAGATAGAACATATCCATTGTGTTTCACGTATCCATTGGGCAAGCTGGTTTTCATACTCTAAAATCAGGCGAGAAAACCCAGCAGGCTTTCCAACCTGTGCGGAGATCCAGAATATTCACTTGGAAGCCTCTTGTGCCAGCTCTCCCAATTATCGAAAATCCCTATTATCTGAAGGTATGAGGTATATCCTACAAGGCATTCAGATAACTGGGGTAGTATTAAAAACAGGGCATCTGGCAAATAAAGATTCATTTTTGTACGTTTTTAATCTTTGCTCCTAGTTTCTATGCCCTAATAGAGGTGGGGGAAAACCATCAGGTAATGAACAATAGTGATTCTCTTTCTGAATGCATGGAGGATATTAATCATCAGGAGAGCTGTTATATTTTCAGTTATAATCTGTTGCTTTCATTAACTTAAATAGCCATAAATCCATGTTGATGGAAATTGAATATGGCTGAGACAGGGATAATATGCCTAATCTCATTGGCAGTTTTTATTTAGCAGTTGATTTTACACTGTTAAAACTTGGGTCTATCATGCTGCTCTGCTGTTATGCCAGCAATGAAAATAACTTCTTCTTTTTCTCCCCCTCACCTCAGCAAATCCCATCACAATCTGGCAAGACTCAATCGTCACCCTTTGGAATTGGAACCAGTCATACCTATCCAGCTGATCCATCATCGTACAGCCCTCTCTCTAGCCCAGCCACTTCTTCCCCAAGTGGAAATGCCTACTCTAGCCTAGCAAACAGAGGTGCAGGGTTTGGTAGGTTTCAGATTATGTATCTCACAAGTGAACATGAAAGTGAAATGCAAAGTGTATTTTAATTCTTCGGACCTGCTCCTCTATTCTGAATGTATGCCAAGGTTGAGATTGTCTCTGCCCTTGTGTGGGTGTGTAGGGATTGCCGAGAGGGCAAAAGAGAGGAAGCAAAGCTTCTTACTACTTGACGCAATGGACTGAGATGAGTTCAGGGACCCCTCCCTCTATGCTTCACCTCCAGCATCCTAAAGGATGGATGCACTGCACTCCCTTCCTGAGGTAGAATCCCTCCCAAACTTCCTTTTGAGTGGCTCAGCTCCACTCTACTCTGACTCAGAAGAGTCCCAAAATGGCACAATCCAGAACAGGGACTTTTTTTAAGCCAACCTGAATGTGAGAAATTGTGTCCTGTCACTGCCGTGTCAACTGCTCCTCTCCCAGGATACTTAATCATTTCTCATTCTGTGCAGATAACCTCTGTCACCCTCACTCTCAGTCACACGCAGACAATTACCTTTGCTATTCCTACTGTGAGGTTAAACAATTCGCTTTTTAAACAGCTGGGGGTGTTTCAGTGTGTTTCTGAGCAGAACACTTTACATTCACTAAGACTAATATTAATGTGAATTTTCTCAGCTACTGTCTAAAGCAGAACATGGCAATAGTCCATTTCTTGTTTTTATTGTCGCAGGAGATAGTAATCTATTAAAGGTCAAATCCTAATGTCTTCACTCATTACTTCTATTTACCCAGGCAATGCTCCAGTGATTTCAAGCTTTCAAGTTAAATCAGTATATTTCTTTCCTCTCCGAGTAAGGCATGGGTAAGAATTGAGTTAGAGACATTAGGACTTGGCCCTATGGGATATGTTCAGGAGCTAAGTTATGACCATAGCTTTGGAATGTGTATTAGAGAACAGGGATAGCAAGGGCACCTCAAATTCTGCCTGGACAGGATTATATCATCATGAGACAGACGTTGATTCATTAAAACAAAAAAACCCAGCCTTTTCTATTTCAATAACAACAATTTCTTGTTGTTGTTTTAATTACTAATTAAGAACGTAGAACTGGAAGCAGTCTCCTCGGTCATCAAGTCTAGCCCCCTACCCTCACAGGCAACGGCATCATATAACCCATTCATAAACTGATCTAGCTCCATCTTAAAACCAGTTAGGTTTCTTGCCCCCACTCACCTGTTGGGAGATGGTTCCAGAATCTCACTACTCTGATGATTAGTAACCTTATTCTAATTTCTACCGAAATTCACTTATGGCCAGCGTAGACCTCTTTATTCTTGTGCCAACATTGTTGTTTAGCTGAGATAGCTCTTGTCCCTGCTTGGTGCTTACTCCAATGTATTTATAGAGAGCAGTTGTATCCCCTCTCAGCCTTCGTTTTGCTAGGCTAAATAAGCCCAGCTCCTTTAGTCTCCTATCATGACTCTCCAATCCCCTGATCATCTTACTAACCCTTCTCTGTACCTGTTGCAGTTTGATTCTTTTTGATTATAATGGAGAATTAGAAGCACTTTATTGTACATTTGGTCATCTCCCAAAGCTATGGTTATATACAGTCAGTGGAGTGGAGTTGCATGACACAGATGGAAGGCAGAATTGGTGTCTTTATATTTAAAAACAAATAAAAAAGAATGAATAAAGATATTAATGTCAATCCTTTCTCAAAACTCACTACATTGTTGTACAGTACGCTACCTGTTATGGAATGCCTGGAAGGCTCTCTATCTGTAATTTTAAGAAGGTAATGCAGCCTGTAATCATGCATGCTGATAATCTGAGGCCTCAGATATATTTTATACTTTGTAAAAAATTAAATCTGAAAAAATCCAAGTGCACATTATACATCCTACTTCAGGAACATGAGTAGCATTAGCAGTGTCTTTGAAAGGGCCAGTGCCCATACACATTTATAGCATGCAAAACTTTAGGAGTGTTTTGGAACTGCTCAACAGCACAGCAAAATCAACTTTTTGATATTTTGGGGAGCTATCCAGCAATGTTGTTGTTCACTGATTTATGCTATTTCCTTCACAAGGGTCATGGGTTCAGTCCCAATTTTACGGACGTACTTACTGGTGGCTGGAAGCCCTCAGACTTGAGCCTCATCATGATCATACTTGGAGTGTGTGAAACTCCACAGTTGCTTACATTACTCCATAGATAGTTAAGTAGAATGGTTCAGGATAATTGTGCTGTTCACAGTGTCTTCAGGTTATGCCATTAGTATGAGCTGTTCCTGAGGGAGTGCTTGAACAGAAAAAAAAATCCAATAAGTGAAATGAGAGCACAAATAATGAAATACAACCGCTTCCCTATTCCCTTCGACCTATACATCAGCACAAACCTCTAAAACAGTGACCTCAATAGTAATCTGCCTATAAGAATGTATGTAGTCAGCTGTGGCAATTAGAGAGAATATAAAATTTGGATGGATGCTGAGGCTTGAGTTAAGGAATTCTACAGCCAGCAAATGTAACAGCAACATTCCTAAAGCCAGCGTGACATGCTGGTAGTTCAGGACAGTCAGTGAATCAGCTGCAGAAGTGTGAGGTAGGCTGCCAGGAACAAAAGGTGAAGAAAGAGCACTCAGCTATCCTTGGCCAAGGTCATATAAAGTTTTGTATACACACTAAGCAAAAGATTTAAAATCACATGGTGATCATAGTCAGTACCTTGTTTACATTAGGAACTGATCCAAAGCCTACTGAAGTCAGTGAAGGGGTCTTTCCACTGACTTCCGTGGGCTTTGGATCAAGCCATTAATGCAGTGAGTTTAAAGAAAGTTCCACTCGGTTTCCTCAGCACCGTGTTCTGACTGTTCGAGGAACAAAATAAAAATAATGGCTTGTATTCCACTGAACTTAACTTTGGCCACCCCTTGCAGATATGTCAGGAAGCAGGAATAGCTGCTTCCCCTTACCTAGGTTATCATCACTACCACGGGTGGAATGTTAAAACACTAATTTTTCTTTTTGCCCTTAATGCTAATTTACTCACTCTTTGCTTTTCACTCAACATTGTGAATGAAATTAGACCAGTTTCATTTCAAGCCCTTTTCAGTCTTTAGGCCTCATTCACTAGCATTATGCTGCCTTGCCTGGACTCAGCAGCAGTGCATCGGGATGTGTACACCAAAATGGCTAACTTCTCGTTGAGTTTATTCCACTGGGCTTTGTACGTTTGTTTATAAGACCTGCACTGGAGACCCAAACTACTTGGCAATGACTGTTCATCTGGTGGAAAAATATTTCCTGATCTACATCAGGTTGAATTCTATTAATAAATACAGTTATTCCTGAAAGGAGCAGCATGAACCTTCTGCTGGCAACCTCTGTCTTGCTGAGCAGAAGGCTCATTTGCCTCACTGAGTAAATTTTGGCATACCGTACTGAGCAAAACTGGTGCAGCTTTCTTTTAAGGGGTAACTTAAATGAACTTTGTTGTGACCAATAGTGTGACTGCAGAATTTCTGAGTCAGCTGAATTATTTGTAACAGCCAGCAAGGGAGTAGTAATTCTCCAGCCCAGATGTGACAGAAGCATGCCATTGCAGTTCATCAGTCTTCTGGGAAACTGCTTACTATTTGTAGCTGATAGTAGAGAGAGACTGGAGTCAAAGTGGCGGCGTTTGCGATCTTGTACGTTATGGAGCAATGACAAACTGTGGAGTCAGGCATTTTGGCTACTTCCATTTGCCATTCTTTCCATTTTTCTGTGTGGAAATTTTGGTTTGTGGTTGTCAGGAGTCTAACGCAACGTGGCATGCAGAACCGCGTGCTTCTGCAGTAATGGCTAGGAAGTTGGCCAGTGGTTCTGACCTGCAGTAACCTGATCTACCAGTGACCCCCAAATTTTGGATTTGTGTGTCTGAAGGAAAAAAGGCAAAAACAGAAGCAATAAAAGGGAAGTGTTTTGGGAAAAATGGTTCTCAGGTGTGCTAGAAACATTTTTAAGTCACAGAACAAGACATGCAACACCCACTACTGAAAATAAATATGTGTATTGGGCTATTCACTGAGACATGAGCTATCCACTGGAGCTATTCACTGGAGATGCGCTTTCCCTTTCCTATCTCAGCCTAAGGAAAGCAATGGTGCTGTGCTGTGGGAGCGCGAGCAGTGGTTCAAACACCATAGCATAATGATAAATTTTGCATTTCCTGGCTTGGCAGCACCAGCCAGAAACTCTCCAAAATATTATGAAAGATGAAAATCTTGGAAAGAGACTCCACAAACAGCCAGTTTGTTGGTTCCAATGCAAAAGGAAAATCTCCTGGGTGATATCTTATATATTTAGGGCTAAATTCTGCCTACCAAAGTACAAAGAGAAATCCAGTTGACTTCAGTTGGTAAACATAATCCATGAACATACTCGTAAAAGGTGAAGTAGCTAACAGATGCAGAATGTGATATAAATTGAAGTACCAGCAGAGAGATCCATAATCCTGAAATGGTCATTCTGACAACATTAGTCTTCTTAACATTAAACCTCTTTATTCCTTCAAAACCCAAGTGGACCCGCACTCTTAGGGAACCGTTGGCACCATGTGAACAGAGCAATTCTGCAGTTCTGAGACTAGAGCCGCATGAAGTAAATAGCTGTTATATACCTATAATAACAGAGGACAAAGCAGCTCACCAACCAGCATTCTAAACACATGACTTTTACGCTTAAATAAGACAGCAAGGCTGGCACCTGTTTATCTTACTATTTAAAAGGTCATGAAACAACAGATTTTGTAAATGGGGTGCTGACATGCTGCCTTTGAATTATATAATCCATCAGATGACAGTGCTCCTTCTGGTCCAGCTCTTGCTCCAAGAGTTTATTAAAGAGGAAGTGCATTAAAATGCCTATCTTGTCATTCTGTTTTTAAGTGAAATGGCTGGTACTTCCTCTCGCTATTAAAGAGAGGCGGGACTGGAGAAAACCCTGGCGTGGCCAGATTAGGTTTCATTACACTCTTCATTATTTCAGTTTGTTCTTTACTGTAAGTAAGCGTGTTGTCCCTGTCATATTGGTGCAGCCACAGTAATTCACCTTGCTCTCTTTGGTCACTATCTTGTTCCCTTGAGAGCAGTGTCAAAACTCCCCTTGACTTCACTCCCATCGGAACTGGTCCTTGCTGAGTATCTGTGCTATAAAATTTACTTCTGAACATCAAAGTTCTTAGAAATAGTCTCAAAAAACATATCTGTGCCTTTTAAAGGAACTGTCTGTGTAAATCTAAATCTTTCAGCTGAGAGTGGCCAAAGCAGTGGACAATTCCAAGGGAGACCTTCGGAGGTCTGGTCCCAGTGGCAAAGCCAGCATCATAATCAGCAAAGCAGTGACCAGCATTCTCACCAGCAGCCCAGTCAGACTGAAGTCTTCCAAGTGAGTAGAGTCAAAGATTCATTGTGTCTACAGTTGTCACAAGAAAGTCAGTCTTCTTACCCAAACAACAACCTTTGCCAATCATGCCCAGTGTGGAAACTGTGCATGACAAGCACCAACCTTCAGTTTGAGATATGCTGCCCTGGTGTTTATAGTGATGTTTGCTGGGATTAGGATAGTCTTCGCTAGAACTCAAAGCATTTTTTCTGCCAGAGCACAAAAACTTCTGTGTTTTGAAATGTTTTCTCCTTCCTGCTTCCACAGCACAAGGGCTATGCATTTTAGGGAGAAATCAGTAGGTAGACAGTCCTGGCTAGAAGTCCCTCCTCATACCCTGGTCCAGATCTATAAATCCAGTCAGTTAAACTTCGGTCTAATTCCGCTTGAAAAGTCAGGGAGGAGAGTAGGCTGTTTCTTTAGAGAAGATACTAACTAACGATTTTTTTTAAAATACTCCAACTATTGAGAAGCCATGTGAGTGGCAAATAATCATCTTCAGTTATGTTAGTTATTTTGCAGTATTAATTACTGTTATAACTATTCATGGTAGATGAGCATGGCACTTTACAAGCAAGCAAGTTGATATGGTCCTTTAGCCCTTTATAATCTGTTTATCATTTAAATTAGATCAAGAACCCAACCAACAAAAGAGGAGGGTGGATAGTTGTATGCAAGGGAAAAGGGAAAGACATAAGTAAATGAAAAGGGCCAGATTCATTGCAAGGTCTTCACCAGTGTAATCTCTGGTGCAGGGCCTCAACAGCAGAAGTTCCCCAAAGGGGATGGAGATTTCAGCAGCACAAGACAGCTTCAACTTCTCCTTCTCTGGGTGGCAATGGGGGATGAAAGAGCCCCGCGGGTGGCAAGTGCAGCATTAGAAATGTGCAGCATTGACCAGGAACACAGGGCTGGCCAAGGCAGGCGGGAAATGTGCTTCTTCAGTCCATCCCATCATCTATCTCCACTCTAATGGATCCCGCAAGTCCTCAGTTAGATTTAAAGCTTGCCCTCTCCTGGGGTAAATCCTCATTATGCTGCTCTTAGACGAGGGTAGTTCACCCTCTTGAGGGCAGATGCTTTGAGCCAATAGGTTATCATGTTTCTTGTTTGCTATTTAGATTTTGTATTATTATGGTCCCTCTCTTGCTACAAAATCAAGTTCTGCCAGAGCTTGTTATTGTAAGAGCTGAAAGGACAGCATGATCATTTTCCCAACAGGGGATACCTCTTCCCCAGGCTTTGTCCCTGACTGGGAAAAGGAGGTTCAGTACTCCCTATGCCTCCTGCAGGGACCACCTGTGACTCAGCAGATTTTGGAGCAGTTATCATGAACTCCTCTTATACCAGAGAAATGCTATCGACTTCCACTGCCTTTTCTGAAATACAAGGAGGCTCACTGACCTGGAGGAAAGACCTCCAGGATTCTTCAGCAGAGGTGCAGTCAGAATAAACGTAGCCCCTGCTTACAGCATGCTGTTCAGGAGGAAGTGGATCCTCCACAAATGTGTGCTGGTACCAGCTACATAACAACAGAACTCTGATGGCGAGACTCCCTCCAATGCTCCCAGCATAGCATGTCAGAAAAGGGGCATGATCCAAATTAAAGGGGGCTGAGTCATATTAAGAGACACACAAATCACATGATGCTTAATGGCCACTGCTTGCTCATCAGTTCCTTGGCTGCCTAGGTTGTACGAAGGGCGGAAGGGTGATGAGCCTGTGGAGGGCTGAACACCTCCTTAGCAGTGTTGAGCTTCTGCAACTGCAATTGACGTCAGTGATTTTCCTTCATGGCACACTGAAGAATAACTGAGACATGTAGATAGAACCCACCAACACTTTAAAACCCGCCATGTCTTGGTTTCATGAAGGGATGTATGCTACCTACGCTGAGGAAGCATCACCAGGAAAGGCAGAGCAGCACATGCCTTAGTGTGTACTCTCTGTTTTGGTTTGAAATGTCTAACTTTTTGCTGTCAACAGCCACAAGGAAGCAACTGCTACTCCCAACCGGCATCCTTGCAGTAGGTGCTATGATTGTCTCTCAGCAGTTGCTGATCCTGTGTCTTAGCATATTATCACAAACCACCCTCTGTAACAAATGGTGTATGTTTAGATCAGTGAAGAATGTGCAGTATGGGGGACAGTCAGACCTGTGCAGAGGCCAGCACAAAGCCTACACACTGCTTAAGTCCAGGTTCAGTCCTTGAAAGAGGACATGTGAGACTTTAAACAGTGCAGAGGGCTCAGGCTAGCCATCTGCATGGGGTGAATTTCACTTTATTTTTCCAGTCTTTGGCCTTTTCTGGTCTTAAGCTAAAAAGATGAACCAAAAAAAAGTTTGTCTCTCAATAGCATATAAAGTAACACTTCACTTTGATTTTCCTCATACAGGACATGCTGCCTATGCCGGGGGATCCAACACAGGGCACTGGCAATTACAACATTGAAGATTTTGCCGATCTGGGCATGTTTCCACCATTTTCTGAGTAATCTACAACGCAAACAAACCCAGTGAAATGAAGTTCAACAAAACCATTTCAGTGTGGTTTTGGTTCTGCTTTTCCTGTATTGCATAACCGTAGAATCTACTAACAAGAAATCATGTTTCTCATATTTTGGATAGTGATAATAGGAGTTTGATCTCTCTTCCTTCTGGTGTGTGAGTGCTGAAGAAGAAGTTACACCACTTGGTGGTGGTCATTGACAGATCCATTTTGTATTTTCTTGTCATCTACCTCAGAGATGAAAAACTTTTGCTTGATTGTGAAAAATCTCTGAGTCCTAAATATCTCAATGTGAACAATTCCTAATGCTCCCTTTGAATGGTAAATTTAAAATAGATAATGAAGTAACAAAGACTAACAGAGAAAAGGTAAGGTGACATCCAGTTACAGGGTCTACTGTTCAGTTTCAATGTCTTGCTCTAATCTTAGGTTTCAGAGTAGCAGCCATGTTAGTCTGTATCCGCAAAAAGAAAAGGAGGACTTGTGGCACCTTAGAGACTAACACATTTATTTGAGCATAAGCTTTCGTTCTCTGAAAACAGATTCAGTATTCTGATTTCTTGGATTCTTGAGAATTTTAGGTCAGTTTGAATGTGAGATTATACAGCATAATATAGTCCTCTCTGACCAGAAGATTCAGCACCTTTTTTCCCCTCTCTTAACCCAGTTAAACTTGAATATGTGTACATTTTAGTACTGTATGTATATCTTGTGCTGTATGATGTGATTTCCTGTATTGGTAGGGTTTGTTTTTTTTTTTAACATATGAAATGAGTCCATTCCAGAGTGTACCGAAAGGGGTGACAATGTATCGCAGAACTTAGATATTGCAGGATTATGCATCACTTTACTTAGAAATAACACTAATTGGTTAATTCTGGTCATTCTGATTTATGCCATATATTTACTTACGCAAGCTGTTGTTCTTTTTTTCATTGAATTTATTAAGTAAGACCTATATGTCTCTAATTTTCTCACTACCTGGTTTTATTTTATTTTTTGCCGTCTATTATTACATCCCCCAAAAGATCTTTTATAAAATTACTGTACAACATATCAAGAACACTGTTTCAGCACCAGTTGCATTTCCTGTCTGTGAACCCCTTTGTTATATCTTGTGCAACATTACATTTTGACAGTTAAAAGAGGTGCCCTGTTACAACAGAATCATCAAGGCTCATTTACTGAGAGAAGTGAGCTAGTTTGTTTCATGTGCCAAACAATGTTGTTAAAACTAATTTGTAATAGGAAACAGCCAGTCAAGCCGTTGTCTGCCAAAAACACAGTGGAGTTAACTTGAATTTTTGCTTGCATGCTAAATTGCTGAGCATCCACCTACTTCTGTTTAAACCCACTGTATAAGGGTTTCAGTTCACTGGGCATTTTGGAGACTCGGGCCGTCCAGAAGGGTGCATGCTTTTCCATGGCTCGGAGTCTTGCTGCCTGGCTTCTCCATCAGAAACTTCTAGAATTTCTGTTCCTTTATTTCTTTTATCACATTAGTTGAGTTACAGAGATCTGATATAAAATGAAGATTTAGGCCCAAATAGTCCCTGCTTGGGGGGAAAATCACCCATGGACAAGAAACTCAAAATTCCCACTTGCTGAGCTTCTTTGAAATCCTGTGAAGGTTGCAGCTCAGCCCCCTTGAAAAAGGGGAAGAGGGTCCAGCTGCCTAAACCTGTGGATGCCCTGGGATCCATGCAAATCTCTGGACACCTACAAGAAGCCAGGGCCACACACCCAGAGGCCCAGTGTCTCTACATATTGCCAACCTACATGCTGCCATTGCCTGGCTACTTGAAGCTACCTCTGAATTCAGAGGTGTCTTCCAGCAGGGAGGACTATTGGCATGCACTGTGTCAGCATTGTCTTATGTGGGTAATCACTGGGGGTTCCTTGGGTGGATGACTCCATTGAGAGCAGCCATTTCCCTAACTCATGGCCTGCTCTGACCATGTGGGTCTCATCCAGAGAGACTTCCACAGGCTGGCAAACCAAAGCTAGCAGGCCACAGACACACTGCTCCCAACCCCAATCGTGTGACTGGGGCTTTTCTCACCCTACTCTGCTTTCTGGCAGGTCACAGAGTGGGGTAAGTGGTCTTCAGTGTTTAGTGAGAGTCTCGCCTGCCATTTGTCTCTTCGCTTCATTTTCCAGGGCCAGTCCCTAGCCCTACGTGCCATTGGAGGGATGGTTTGTGTATATGTGTCTTTTGCTTGTATTTTTTAATGAAAACTGAATCTAGTTCAAAGCTAGATAAAGAACTGCAGAGGCCTCAGATCTCTGGACTGTACTTGTCTCAGCAGAGTCATCCTGATTTAAAAATGGGCACCTCTTCCCCTGCCCCAGGGGATGAGGAGAATACTCAGCTAGCTGAGGAAACCATGCACTTAAACTATATTTATTTTAATACCTGGATATTGATTCTCTTGAAGCTGCCCCTGCTACCCTTCACTCCCATTGCGCGCACACTGCATGGACAAAGAACTGATCAGTGAGTGAGTCTAGAAAAGCTCTGCTCCCTGTAGTTAGCATGTCCGTGGAATTCACTGACCCCCCTAAAAGATGCCTGTGTGGGTGAGTTGAGACATCTGGGCGAAAGGGAATAATAGTAAAAGGAGAGATGGATGATCCTGATTCTGTGACAGGTCTAACAACGGGGGAAGAAGGGAGTGGCCCAGCAATTTATAGCTCTTTATATACTGCACTGGACGTGATACATTCAGGATTTTTTAAAATATAAAAATGAGAATTTCTGTAAAGTGAAAAATGGATTGGAAAATGGTGTTCCTATGTTGCAGTCTACCTGACCGGTTGCTCTGCGTGTATGTATACTTTACTTGTTGTTCCTGAATTCAGTCTAAAATAATGTGTTTATGAAAACCTGTTTTTTCCAGCCCAGAAAAGTTTCTCTACATATCACTGTCTTTTTATGCTATCGGTGTGTAGAAGTAGGCTTATCAGTCAGTATTTGGTAGTACAGTTTGAAGTTCTTTGTTAAAAGATATTCAAGCATGTCTATTTTTTTAAAATACAGTATTACTAGTGCCCAAGGCATCAGTGCAAGGTCTGTTTCTTGTCTTCTTCCTCCCCATCCTTGTGGCCATAAAAGGGAATTACTGTAGTGTTAAAGGCCAGTCTAGAAGAGTCCAAGGCTTTCATCCACTTCACTTTGGGCCACAGTATGCCCCTGTTTATATTCTGATATCCTGAGCCAATCTTTCTCCCTGTTTCTCCGTTCTCCCTAAGCTCCCCTTCAGCTGATCCCCCGCACAGTATCTTTACATTGCTTTCCCTGCGTTGGAAGGGAAGATGTGGGTGATCTTTTCTGAGGGTGCTGTTAGTTTCACGCCAGCAAGAAGGGAGCTCTTAAAGAGCATTATGGTTGGCAACCTTATTCCTGAGACCAAGTGAATAGTGCTCCTAGGGCTCCTGTCCAGTATGTGCTGCCTCAATGCCCCTGGCTGACTCTTTTGAAATCTCTTCCTCATTCTAATTCTTGTGGCAGCAAAGGCTGTTTTAGCATAAGTGGAGCTATAATCTTTGTTGTGTGTCTTGATAGTAATAAAACAACTTACATGTATAATGACTGAAGTTGTTAAGTGCATTTGAAAACTGTCCTCTTTTTATTTGTGCAGTTAACATAACGCCTGTGGTAGGTCAGCTGCCAGAGTTTGCAGATTTTACATGCAGATTTTTTTCTACCTGCAGAGTTGTGTTTTCTGACCAGACTGTATTGCAAACACAGTGTTTCTGAAAACAGTGGGAAATACATAACTGAAGCATTCTGCTTTTTAAACCAAGTGTGCAAGAAGCTACAAATGATAATGTAACAAGCTGAGGAAGTTACTTCAATGAGTAAGCTTATAGACTGGGACCATTTTCATATGCTGAGGTATTTACTTGTTCATATAATCAATCCTGTTTCCTGACATTAAGTATTTTACAGGACTGATTGTATTGCATAACTTGTTAAAGGCACTAATGACAGTGCCAACAATTATACTTTAACCAGATGTGTCCATAACTAGCTTTGTTGCCTTCTTTTTCTTGAAGCCCAGTCTGAAACTGTAAATACTTTTTGCAGTACTGCCTTTTTTAACTCCTAATTACTTTTGGCACAGTGTTATATAGTGTTGGATTTACCCAATTGCTATAACATATATTTTTATACATAGGCATACTCTTTTTCAAGAGTAATACAGCCACTTAATCATTAATGCCTTATCAGTGTCATAATGCTGTTGCTCTTCGGTTGGTTGGTTTGCAAGGTGTCCAGTGGGTTAATTTTTAGGTCAGATATTTTCATTTTCATAGCAGTGCTCAAATTGGGGTATAGGGGATTGTGCTGTAACCCCAGTTTTCACTGTTGCCAATGGTGGAGAGGGAGGTGCATGAGGAGAAGGTCCTCCAAAATGGGGAAAAGGAGGAAAAAAAAAAAGGGAGGGCGTACCATGATTTAAAGTCTATGAGTCTATGACATTTATGGGGTCACTCTCCTCCTGCTCCAAACTTTGAGCACATTTTCATGGGTTGACAGCTGCATAGATATGGACCAGTTTGCTTAGAGTCGTGCTCTTTTTTAAAAATAATAAATGCCAAAAAAATGGCTTCTGTTGTCAAGTTAGGCACTTGGTTACTTATCTGTTTAAACTGTTTATATTGCTGTGAAATTGTGCTGTGGATAAAGTGTATTTTGTACTTCTGAATGTTCTATATTTATGACTAACAGTTACCGAATCAGTTGTGTGTATGTATATCTAATAACTGCCTTTTTAAATTTCATTAAAATAAAACTGTCATGAGCTGTTATTAATTCATGTCATTATATAAGTAATTGGGATACCTGCTGGCACAAACAGAAGGCTATGTTACATCTGGAGCTTTGATATTCATGCTTACAAATCAGATCGTAGTTTTATAATGCTCAGTATAGAAACACATTTCATAATCCTAGATCAAGAAGACTTAAGCATGTCTTCCTTACATAAATTTTGGCCAAAAACTACATTTTTCAACCTGTTCTATTTTTGTTCCCCTTAAGCTGCTGCAACTTTCATAGAGGACTTTCTATTGCAAGGGACCCCGCACCAGTGTGAAATTAATCCAGCCCTTTGTGTGTATACATACTTCAGTCTCCCATTGTCTATTCACTTTATGAACAGATTGGTTAAGCAAGGCTCAGAGTTTGTTTGTGCATTGATGGCATGAGGGAGCTGAGCAGTGAGTTAATGCAGTCATGAACTTTTCGAAAATCATTTGATGCTCATTTTTGTCTAAGAGGATGAGATGGCTCGGGAGATTGGTAATCGTGGGTTACAGAAACTTATATCTATCTCTGAGTCACTAGTGCTATAGCAGTTCAGGTCAGCATTATAATGAGCAAAAGTCGTGACCATCAAATGGCTGTTCAGCGGGCTTTGTGAAATGAGTTTGGTGATCTCAGTACAATACCCAGTGAGCCAGTGTCCAAACATCTCAACCACAACTGTCATTGCCTGGCCCTTTGGCCCACCAGAGAAAACAAGAAGTGTATACAGACTGAATTACCCTCTCACCACTTGGGTGGTCATCCCATGCGAGGGCTGGGGCATGTTGGTGAGTCAGCATAGAGAAGGGGAAGCTTGCATTGCCACTGCCGGTTTATAGCTGTTCTGGGGAAGAAGTGTCAATAGGGGACCTCTCATGAGTGCGAAATTCACACATCAAAAAATGTTTGCTCAGTGCATTACATCACCTACTGTCATTTCTTAATGGGGTTACATAATTCTTAACAAATAGAAGTGCCTGAAAAGGAAACTTGCAAAAGGTATTTTCCTGTTAGTGGAAGTTCTTTGCTTGTGTTCTTGGCTTCCCTCCGTCAGGACTTTTATTTATGCATGTGAGGACTGTTTGCTCAGGAAGTGTTAGTAATGGATTTAGGGTGGAATTTTTGAAAGCATCTAAGAGAATTAGGCACCAACGGGAGTTGGAACCCAAAGCCCCTTAAGTGCTTTTGAACATTCCACTGTTAATCATTTTCGAGCATAGGCATGATGAATGGAGTACTTGGAATGAATGGGTAAGCAAGCGGATTCTGGTGTGGTTCGATTTTCCGATAGTACCGCAGTAGCACTGATTTGGTTTTAAATGATATTCGTTTGAAGGGGTAATATAATCCACGTTCTTGTTGGTTTAGTCAGATTAGTTGGTCAGAATACTACCAAAGCTTTCAAACCTGACTCCCAGACTCATATTTAGACACCTAGATACGAGTGACCTGATGTTCACAGTTCCATCAAGATTGGTGTCATGTTTCAGGAAATATTAGTCCATCGGGTTCCTCATTCTCTTCTCCGAACTGGGTGTAACTGGGACAAATAAAGGGTGAATTCCTCCATCCTGTATGCTCCAGTAGTCTGAGCACCTTCCTGGTAGGAATTATGTGGCAGCATCTTTCTACAAGCCTCTGATTCTGTCCTGTGTCAAATAAAATGGAATCATTTGAACTGTATTAATGGACTTTCTATCAAACCCACAGGTTGATAGGGCATCCTTTCATTAACTCTATGGAAAAATTAACTATCTAATTGTGGACTGACACTAAACACTGGTAATATACAAAATGTGCCAGTTTTTTAAATTGTCAGCCAAGAGCCCACACACACAAAATGCACAAGTGCAGGAGTGCCATAGCTATTATTGCTGTGGCAAAATGTAGAGGTCTAAGTATCTGATTGTGCCCACAATGCAGCCACAGTTTGCATGTGCAAATAAAAAAATTAAGCTGCTGTTTAGAACGGTGTCCCAGCATATGGGAAACCCCCTTGTCCCAAGTTAGCTTTTGCGGGTAGAAGGTACTTCTATCCTAGCGCTTATCACAGATTCCCATTTTCAGCTAAGAATGTAGCTTTTAAATAACTGCAACACCCTTAGAAACCCAGATGGATTTAAATAACAGCAGAAAAGTTTGGAGAAGTTGAATTAGTCTGGTGCACCCGACCATCCCTCCCAAATTTGTGAGCAGTTCACAACATTTTTAACCCCATCAGAGTTGCCCATGCCTACTTGCTACTGGCTTCTTCTCCTTGCTTATGGTCCAAAACAGTTAGTTCCATGTGTGGCCTAACAGACAGGTAGCTTTTGGTCTTCAAAATAAAATCATAGTACAGTAATTTCCACTTAAACCTGGAATTGCTGGCTAGACACTGAGATGTATTCTCTCTAAGGAACAAACATTTCTGCTACCACTGTGTTTGTGTGGCCAAGCAAATGACTGAGACCACCAGCTTGCAAAATAAACATACAGGAGAAAATCTCACAAGCCACATTGCCTTCAGAGCATGTATTTAGGGCAGAAATTGTTTGAAAGTATTATGAGCCATACTTAGAGAAGGAATTAGTGGAATTTATGCCAAAGTCAGATCTCCTCTCCGCCTTCAAAACTCTCTCCGTTCTCGTACCTTTCAACTTACCCAGGCCTAAATGTGGGACAGTGTGTGGCAGAGACCCAAACTGAGGGATACAAAAAATTTACAAGGGCAACAGGCCTTAAATGTTGTGGGATTCCTTCCTTAGTGTCAAATGGTTGCTCACTCTGTCTCATCTCAGGCTATATCTACACTACTAGCTAGGGCATTACCCCCGTGGCTAGTAGTGTAAATGTAGCCTTAGTGTCATGGTTCTTTATTTCTGGTATAAACAGTTCTCAAACCATAGAAGCCAGCAGACACCAAGTTTGTGTGGAACTTGTGGACCATATTAAATGATGTTCCTTGAAATGAGGGATGCTTCAGAAGTATCGCTATCCCTCTGCTGCCTGCCTTCCTCCAGAGCTACATAGAGAGAGATTCAGTGAGTGAAGATGTGGAAATCCTTAGGGCCATTTTGTGATTGGCCTTTGTGTGTGAGGGCAGGATAATAAGGAGCTTCCCACACTTTTGCACACCTGACTTGAGAGCCAGTCACAATTGCAGCCTCTGCACTCATGGACATAAGAATGGCCCTACTGGGTCAGACCAAAGGTCGATCTAGCCCGGTATCCTGTCTGCCGACAAATGGCCAATGCCAAGTGCCCAAGGGGGAATGAAAAGAACAGGTAATCACCAAGTGATCTGTCTTATCACCCATTACCAGCTTCTAGCAAACAGAGGCTAGGGACACCATCCCTGCCCATCCTGGCTAATAGCCATTGATGGACCTATCCTCCATGAATGTATCTAGTTCTTTTTTGAACCCTGTTATAGTCTTGGCTTTCACAACATCCTCTGGGAAGGAGTTCCACAGATTCACAAGGGCCTGACCCTCTCCATATGTGCTGTGGAGCACACACTGCTGCAAAAGGGTGGCTAGAATAAGAGGCCGCCTGCACCAGCTAACAGAGCAGGCCAGCCACAATCCCGCCCTGAACTCTCCCAGGGACAGTGTGGCTCTGCACTGCCCCCAATGCAAGGGCCTTGAAGACACAACCTAGCCCTTACTTACCAAAAAAAAAAAAAAAAAAAAGTGTTTTTGGACTTTTGCCTTACAAGGCCCAACTACTAACTGCCTCCCTCTCTCTCTCACTGATGCCCAAGCACAGGTGCTGTAATGGTTGGCCTTTCCAATCAGCTGGGACTTTTCCCAGGTGGCTTCCTCTAACAAATAGCACTTAATCATCAAACTCAGCCCCTGAAGATTCACACCTAGCCTGAAAAAGAAAAAAGTTAGGGCCTGACAGCCTTCAGCAAGAGGAGAAAATGTTCAAGTGAAACAGGGCTGGTTTATTCCAGACAGCCCTGACACCAGAGGATTAAGGGCCCACAAAGGAAGTTTCTCAAAAAAGGATTTTTTTTGTTTCACTTTAGTTTATTACATTTTTCAACTTCTACAAAATGGCCCTAAGGGCGCTTTCGAAACGATGAAATTCCTGCAAAACTCTTTATTTACTGAGACTCTAAAAAGAAAGATCAAAGTGGTGCAATGCCATTAAATTATGATTCTATTGATTACATGAAGGTGCTTAAACTAAAGCGGTACTGAGATGAAATTTATTCAGCTTCTTAACATATTCTTCATGGCCTTCGTGATCTGAGGTCAGTGACCTAATTTGGGAGTTAATGGATATTGTTGCTTCAAATTATTTTCGTTCTAAATATTCATCAGATTATGTTAGTTAACCTAAATTTGCAGATCCTGCTGAGGGAGTGGGGTTCTGCACTGACCTACCAAATCTGACCTGGATATATCTTTTGGCTAATGAAATACAGTAGTAAATTTACAGAAGCAAGTATAATTTGTAGGAATAAACCTAGAAGGAAAACTTAATTCAGCGTAGAGGAGATACTATCAGTTATAGAGTGCCATAGCTGTGCAGAAGAGCTCTGTGTAAGTTCAAAACATGTCTCTTTCACCAGTTAGCCTAATAAAAGATACCTCGCCCACCTTGTCTCTCTCTATATAGGCATGACACTTTTACAGCAGACTTGCAACATTCTGCATAGCCACTAAGCTCAGTCAAGGAATTTCTTTTGATGGGCATGTAAAATTTCATTCATTTTTTCTTCATCATTGTGATGGTAAAGGGCAGCTGAGCAGATTTTGTGGCTATGCTGGTAAACTGTCACGATGATTTTGCAAGCCTGCTTTAAAGCCATACATTTTGCTGATTTCGACTGCGTTGTCATCATTGCTGAGATTACGCTGAGCCACATTAATGTTTAATGTCAGATATTTAAATGTTTAAACCAAGACTCAGCCATCATAAGGCAGCTCATTTTTAGTAGAGCTGGAAGTAACGGAAACCAGATTCTTATTTTGTCTTTCTCCAGCTGTAGAATTTTTTTTTCTACTTGCCCG